GTACCCAACGTCATCATTACATAGCGCTATCGTCTTTTGTTTTTCCCCTAGAGGCCAAAATTGAAAATATCGTAAAACCAGCAAGTGCAATTATCTTGGTTATTATTATAGGTGGAGTATTATAACTAAGACATTATATGGACACTTTTTTACAGAGAATTTGATGACGTAGTCAAAAAAAATTTTTTAGTTTTAGATTTTAAGATATTATAACAATTTTCGTTTTTTTAAATGGATTATTCGCTTATTAAATTCGTTATTTTTTTCTGATTACAAAAATACGGAGTTAGATAGGTCTATTTCTTATTATTTGAGAATAAAGCTAAAAATAAACTTTTTTTTAGTGTCGTCAAAGAAATTAAATTTACAGTTTCCTGTAAATTACAACTAAAAATTAAAAATCGTGAGGTTGGTATTGGAAATGATTAAATGTCACTAAGTTTAAATAATTTTTTTTAATTAATTCAAATTAATTACATTTTTATATCATATATTAATTATATTATTTATTTTTATGTTAATTGACTTTCAACATAATCTCAAATCTTACAATTAGAAGTTTTCTCAAATTTAGTATCTTTATTTTGTTTAATTGGTACCGTAAAATTGACAACCTTCATCATAAACAACTCATTTGAGGTTATATCGTTTTTATTTAAAACAATAATTAATATTTTTCAATGAAAATGAGTGGAAAACAAGATAAATCGGTCGTAAACAAGTTTGGACTTAACGATAGTGTATATTACAATAAAATCCTTATTGTTTAAGATTAATTTTAAGATGCTTCAAATTAATAAATCAATTATTTTTAATTTTAGGTTGTGCTGGGGTAATCGTAGGTCATCCTTTAGACACAGTCAAAGTTCACTTACAAGTTCAATCTCCGACATCAAAATACAACACAACTTATAAATGTCTTCGTGGAATAATCATAAAAGATGGATTTAAAGGTCTTTATCGAGGGATGAGTAGTCCCCTTGTTGGAGTATCGGGAATAAACGCGATAATTTTCGGAGTTTACGGTATCACGCAAAGATACATAAGTCAAGATAACAGCATTTTTTCTCATTTCATCGCGGGTGGAATGGCTGGATTATGTCAAAGTATTCTAACTGGGCCGGTTGAATTAGCTAAATCTAGAGCACAAATTTTAGGAAATGTTAGTGCTACTCAGTGTATAAAAAAAATTTTTGAATCGGAAGGTTTTAAAGGCGTTTTTCGCGGGTTAAACATCACGGTAATGAGGGAAATCCCGGCGTTCGGTTCTTATTTTGCTTCTTACGAATATTTATCACGAATGGAAGATGGAATCACCTCAACGCCGACGATGATTTTAGCCGGAGGTACGGCCGGCGTTATCTCTTGGATCATTTCGTATCCGATCGATGTGATAAAATCAAGAATGCAAATCGACGGAATGAACGGCATAAACGAGTACAAAAATTCAATGGATTGTTTAAAAAAAACCGTTGAACAAGGCGGTTATAGATCTTTATTTCGTGGGTTGATGCCGGCGATTATAAGAGCTTTCCCCGTAAACGCGGCTTGTTTCACGGTCGTGACGTGGACGATGAGAGTCTTGAATGACGATCTGGTGATTGAACACAAGGATAATACGCTGTGGGATGGCGGCGTTTTGTATTCAACGGTCGTCTATAACATGCAAACGCAAGAACCCGTCGTTGCTTGAGATGTTAATGTTTAGGAGTTACCTGATGGTGTGTTCAGTGACGTGCGATTAATGTAGATTGCAAGGACACGCAGAATCGAGCCGATTTTAGGTCGTTTACGTTGTGTATAACGATGTACTGTGCCTTCATGTTTATTAATTTTCTGTATTTATTTGAATGTATAATAGTGTAGGTCTTAAGACGAGGAAAGGTATTAAGATCAATGTATATTAAAATCAATGTACATAAATTTGTAAATAAATTAGAGTTAGAAAAAACATTGATTTTTTTATTTAATTTATAATAAATCACAAAATAATAATAATATTTATTAATCCCATATTATACTTTGAAAAAAGAAGGGTAATACAAAAAAAAAAATTAATTGAACAAAGGAAAGTATGTTTTCATTTGCCCTCGAAAGTCTTAGATGAAATTACATTAAAAACCCATCCCAGCACCAACCCCAAGTGCAACGCCAATACAAAATTTTCAAGGTTTCATAAAATTCGTGATAATAATAATAATTTATTATGTTAAAACCCGCAGGTCTTTGAAACTCCACCAATATATCGAAACTCTGCTACAGGAACTAAATAATTATGATGAAGATTCGTCGAACATGTAATATAAAATTTCAAGCGCCGCCAAAATCTAGTGTCGTCGAAGAAATGAAATATACAGTTTCCTGTAAATTACGGGGTATTATTTTTCTTGTATTTAAAAACAAATAATTATGTTTATTACATCAACTGTTAATACGGAAATATTTAATGGATTGCATTGTTTTGAATTGGAGAAATATGCTTTTTTAATTTTTAGTTATATTACCGTAATTTACAGGAAACTGTAAATTTAATTTCTTTGACACACTAAAAAAAAGTTTATTTTTAGCTTTATTCTAAAACAATAAGAAATAGACCTGTAGAACCCTATATTTTTGTAATCAGAAACAAATAACGAATAAGGATAAGGATTTTATTGTAATATACACTATCGTTAAGTTCAAACTTGTTTACGACCGATTTATCTTGTTTTCCACTCATTTTCATTGAAAAATATTAATTATTGTTTTAAATAAAAACGATATAACCTCAAATGAGTTGTTTATGATGAAGGTTGTCAATTTTACGGTACCAATTAAACAAAATAAAGATACTAAATTTGAGAAAACTTCTAATTGTAAGATTTGAGATTATGTTGAAAGTCAATTAACATAAAAATAAATAATATAATTAATGTATGATATAAATAATGTAATTAATTTGAATTAATTAAAAAATTATTTAAACTTAGTGACATTTAATCATTTCCAATACCAATACCAACCTCACGATTTTTAATTTTTAGTTGTAATTTACAGGAAACTGTAAATTTAATTTCTTTGACACACTAAAAAAGTTATTTTTAGCTTTATTCTAAAACAATAAGAAATAGACCTGTAGAATCCTATATTTTTGTAATCAGAAACAAATAACGAATTTAATAAGCGAATAATCAGTGGATGTTGCCATTTAAAAAAGCGAGAATTGTAATTGTAATTGTATTGTTTTTTCTTATTTTTTTGCTATCTCGGAGACTATAAGAGTTAGAAAAAAAGTAGCTTACATGTCATGATCTCGTTTTTGAGAAACTGCTAATGCCAAAAACCTCAAAGGCCAAAATTGAAAATATCGTAAACCCAACAAGTGCAATTATCTTGGTTATTATTGTAAGTGGAGTATTATAACTAAGACATTATATGGACACTTTTTTACAGAGAATTTGATGAAGTAGTCAAAAAAATTTTTTCGGTTTTAGATTTTGAGATATTATGACAATTTTCGTTTTTTTAAATGGAAACAACCCCTGATTATTCTCTTATTAAATTCGTTATTTTTTTCTGATTACAAAAATGTGGGGTTAGATAGGTCTATTTCTTATTGTTTTAGAATAAAGCTAAAAATAAGGTTTTTTTAATGTCGTCAAAGAAATTAAATTTACAGTTTCCTGTAAATTACGGTACTATAACTAAAAATTATTCTACTAAAAATTTATATAAAATTTACTTTATTTTCTAATAAACATAAACATTCTAACATGTTAAACTCTTCGTAATTTTCGTAATCCATCTTAAAAAACAGGATTTTTAATTTGACACTTCAGAACATTTATGAATGAATGAAATTTTGATAAATATATGAACGCCATCTATCAATAATTTATTAAGTCATTTAATAATAATATTAAATATTAATAAAAAATGTGAAATAATGCAATCTATTCCAACTTTTGTGTAAAACAAATATAAATTAAATAGTGGAACAAATGTATTTGTTTCAAATATCAGAAATATGTTTTTTTAATTTTCAGTTATAATTTACAGGAAACTGTAAATTTAATTTCTTTGACGACACTAAAAAAAAGTTTATTTTTAGCTTTATTCTAAAACAATAAGAAATAGACCTGTAAAACCCTATATTTTTGTAATCAGAAAAAAATAACGAATTTAGTAAGCGAATAATCAGTGGTTGTTTCCATTTAAAAAAACGAAAATTCTCATAAATGTCACAATCTGAAACCGAAAAAATTGTTTTTTTGACTTCGTCTGCTTCGTCATGAAATTTTCTGTAAAAAAGTCCATCTATAATAATAACCAAGATAATTACACTTGTTTTTAATGCTTATGTAGAACCGATGTCTTGATAGGTGCATAAAGATTAAAAAGGACAAAGAATAAAGTTGACAATTAAAAAAATCAACTTTATCGTAAATATTTGACAGCTGCAAAAGTTCCTGCCAAGGAAGTGCACTCAGCTGATCCAAAAAAAGTTCAGAGTTAAAGTTTCTGAAGTCTCTATAAGTAATGCTTTTAGTTGTAGAACGATGCAAATCAAAAGACAAGGCAACAAACACAAGTGAGTGATCAGCAATGTTTAGCATCTACATTTAAAAGCACAAAGTCAATAAATGTGGCGGAGGAGACGGTGACACGAGTTGGGCTCGAGATAATTTGTTGAAGGCTAAACTAACTGTTCATTAATATCTAAGCCATTAGATTATGATTTCTAATAAATAAGTTCATAGATTCGTAAAGATCACAAATTCAAAAACAATTATGTAAATGATGTAAAATTAGATGAATATTAAACATGGCAATAATAAACTTTTATTTATTCTATTTCATATACATTATGTAAAAGTAAATGTGTATATTTACATTATATATTAATGTATACATAACCGCTGAAAGACAAGGTGCTTGGTTGATTTGTGGCTATTATTATTTAAATTTCTATTTAAAAATCCTTAATACTAAGCAATATAGGGGAAATCAATGCGCCACAGCGACGTGTCATTAACAAAAAAGTTCTTCGTCCAGCTTATATTAGATGTTTTAATTTTGGTACCACCCAAAGATTTTTCACTCTTCAAACCCCTTCATTTCTCCCTTTTTAATTTTTGCATCGTTTTATTTAAGTACTCAGTCTAATCATTAAAGTGTTCATGCCTTTTTCCTTGAAAGAAGATTTTTAAAAGCACTATTTTTATTTATTATTAATTTAATTATTTTTTATTATTGATCTTGAGCTGGTTCGACGTCCTCGACGACGTCCATCGGTTGCGGATGTGGATTGGCCGGCAACGCTGGATTATTGTTGTGCAAATTGGCATTTAGCTGCTGCAACATATTTAGCTGCTGTAAGTTTTGCGCATTTTGTACCTGGGCCTGTTGCACCTGAAGCGCGTCGTTATTGTTCAAAGCGGCCTCTCTCTGCGCTTCCAAAGCAATCATCTTCTGCCTCTTCTCCTCCATCAATTTCTCCCGATGCTTATGAATGTAATCTCGCACATTCGGTAGGCCGCTTATTACGCAAGCCGATAAAGCCGATCTGTAGATGTTCATGTCGGTCGCTTCGTACCATTCGTTCGTTTTTTCATCGTAACATTCAACGTGGTAAATCGTCGTTACCCCGTTAAAACCGCCAATAACAAAGATCATATCGTCGATTACTTCAATCGCGAAATTACTTCTCGGGTTGTACATGTCGGGAATCTGCGACCAAGTATTCGTTGCCGGATTGAACTTTTCACCGCTACACATTCGCGAAATACCGTTAAAACCGCCCACTACGTATATATGTCCATGGTATGCTATGCAAGATACTCCAGATCTTCGGGAACGCATCGGATTTATTAATGACCATTGATTTATTGCTGCGTCGTATACTTCTGCCGAATGCATGCATTCTTGACCATTAAAACCACCTGTTATATAAATTTTTCCTAAAAACAGAAAAATAATAATAAAGTAAGATTTGGGATGCAATAGGAAGCTGAGGCTAAAAGAGTGAAGCTGAAGATCTTTTACTTTAATGGTGATTTAACCAAAGTTTAAGTAATTAGATTATAACTTAGAATATAAAACTTTAGTTATCTTTGATAACTTTGAACTTAAATAACATTGAAATGTTATTGAAATGCATGGTGGAGAAATTCCTAGCTTTAACATATAAAGATTAATTTTATTGAAATAGAATTTTCTTACCATTAAGTGTACAAGCACTTGCATCAGACCTTTGCATATTCATGGGTGCAATTAAACTCCATTGATTTGTTTTCGGATTATACTTTTCAGCGGTATTCTGTCGATGATGGCCATCATATCCACCCATTGCATAAATGAGATCGTTTAAAACAGCCGTACTAACATAACAACGTCTTGCGTGCATCGGAGCAACTTCCTTCCAAATTTTATTCACGGCATCAAAGCACCTACAAGAATTGAAATAGTCCATTCCATCGAATCCACCGATTACGTAAATGTTAAAGTCGACAACGGCAGTTCCATGATAAGCTCTGGGTCCCATAGGATCGACTTCTTCAACTTTTACCCAACGATCGGCTCGGGTGTCGTAAGTTTCCATGTAATTTGTTGGAGAACCACCGCTCCATCCACCAATAGCGAATAAAACCTATCAATTTAATTAAAAAAAAATATTAAATGGGTAGAGTAAGAAAGGTTTTAATTCACACCTCGTGTGGAACTCTTGGTCTTGCTATTTCTGGAGTTGGTACTTCGCCGTCGCGATGAGAAATCGTTTCTAAATCATATAAGAATTTTAATGTTTCAATTATCATGGGTCTACTCTCTTCGCAACTCGTTACATATGGGTGATCTTTAACGTGTTCTAAGAAAAATTGCGTATCCAATAAACCTAATCTGATACATTTCATAAGAGAAACAATGTGTTTTTTGCGATCTTCCGGATCGTGGTTAATCCATTTTAAAATAACTTCCCAAACGGTTTCTTCACTTTTCACGTTTAACTCGTCATCGTTGATAATTTCTTGTAAATCATTTAAACTTAAGCCAAGTAATTCGTTGCTTTGGCTTGCGATTTGAACGAAAAAACGCATTATATATTTCCAAGCCGATTCTGCCAGTTTTCGACAAAAGTGCGATCTCGCGAATAACATAATTCCTATTGCATTCGTTGGATTTAGTTTGTATTCAAGGAAATCGCAACATATCTCTAAAACTCCGAGGATACTCAAATAATCGGCTGTTGTTAATAATTTGTAGACATTATCTTCGTTTACGTTCAGTTTTCTTAGGTAAATATAGGAGAGAAGGGCGTGCATCATTTCGGAGGAAACGCCGGGAAGTAAAACGTTTGTTTTATTTTTTCCATGTAATGTAGTTGTAAATAGTGCCCTAAAAATGGTTTAATAATAAAATAATTCTTGAATTGAAAGTAAAATTTACTTAAAATATGTACTGCAGGCGCATAATATGGCCCTATGTACCGGAATGCTGGTACCATCTTCCAGCAAAATTGTGGCGTCGCAAAGCTGATTATTCTCCTGCAGCTCGTAGAGCGACTGCATGGCCTGAACGCTCATACGCCGTCCACCGCCAATGGTAAGTTTCTCGGATTCCTCCGATTCGGTCATCTCACCAAGATCGGCCAGTTTCGTTCACCGATACATAACTTAATACTAAGGGATTTGTCGTCAACTTCTTCACGGGTAATTTAGTAATGGTGAGGTGTTAGGAGATGGATTCTAAAAGTCAAATTTGATAATTTGACTAGAGAAAAAAAGAATTGTTGCCGGGCAACTAAGCGTCCGTGCGGAGCGTCGAAACGCCCAACGGAAGCGTCTTTAAAAGGACTCACCACCAAACGCCTCTTCGGCTTCAACGTCTCCGGGGTGCGGGTCGTAGAGGCCGATGTAAAAGGACGGACATTTGGGTATATGCGTGTAATTTTGACTGGAGTTTGACCGGAGAATGTCAATGTGACATTTACGTGTCTTCTGACATTGTCCGGATAAACATCGGTAAAAAAAATTCACCGACATCTATGTAAATTTTACTCCAACTACTTAATTAATTATTAATTATTATAAAGAAACAATCGTATTATCACATTTATTGTAATCATTTACTTAGAAACCAATGACTTTTCTTCTCATTTGAAATCAATTGCTGTCCAAGGAGTGATGTGGTAAACATTTCGACGTTATTTTTTAATTTCTACACACAAACATCCCATGTAATAACTTCTCAACAATTTTCTCCATGTTTTTACATCGTTATTGGATACGATAAACTTAAATTTTATTTCAAATAGTTTTTCAACAAAGAAATTTAATCAATAAGAGTTATCTTTTAAGTTATTTTTAATTATAACTATAAAAATGTTGAATTGTACAAAAAGGTACAATGCAATGCAAATTTTTAAAATGCAAAAACTGGCCAAAAATGACATTTAGGTACTTGGCGTAATAATATTTTAATAAACAAGTACTTGTAACTGTGAAGACTTTTTAACGGGCCTGTGTCCCAGAAGAGAGAATTAAATCCTATAGGCTCTGTAAATTGTCAACTACATTTGGAATTTAGTCATCTACACTGGAAACAGCAAATTTAATCAAAATCACAATCATTGAAGTGGACTAGGACTGGTGGTCAGAAAGCCAACCCAAGGTTTTAATGAACGTTAATATAGAAAAAAACGGTATGTTGTTTATATCCGAAACTTGGGGTCCTTGATCCTGGATTTTCTTAAGTACTCGAGGTTGGGCAGTTACAAACAATATCACTTATCGTCTCGTCTTCCATTTCACATCCTCTACAGAGAGATGTATTCGCCAGCTTCATGTAGAACATTCATGGAAACATGTGCTTATGCAACCTGCAGTGTCCGGTCAAGATGTGGGTGAGCTTCAAGTGACAGAATGACATTTAGGTACTTCTGGGCGTAATAATATTTCAGGGTATGATGGACAAGCACTACAGAAATGATTTTGGACTACCAATAAATTACTTGTAACTCCATCTTTTGGCACTATTAAGTCACAGAACTGTGAAGACTTTCTAACGGTCTGTGTCCCAGAAGAGTCCCTATTTGGCATTAAATTGTATAGGCTCTGTGAATTGTCAACTACATTTAGAATTTAGTCATCTTCACTGGAAACAGCATCAAATTTAATCTAAAGCACCATCAGTTATAACTGAGTGAGCAATTTCTTCTAAAACTGCTGTTTAAATAAGGCTAAATGTATTTTGACCCAGTTTTACTTATTATATGTGACGCTCTCCAAGATGTTAGTAGCTTTGTTTTTCATAACACGTTCCTATTTTAAGACTAAGTTACAAATTGAGGAAATTGTTTTTTTATTAAATGCATTTATTAATAAAACTAACGCAATAATCTCTTCCTGAACCGAACTAAAATGAAAATCAATTTTTTTTATTTCATGTTTACAGCTTTATAAATTTAAAGTTATATTCTACCAGTCTGACCGTTCGAACCATTAAAAGCACAAACTAATTGGAAATTGTATTTTATGGTTGCACATGCGTACGCAACCTTACATAACCTTATACATTAATCCTCACGTATCTCAAAAACTAATTGAGGTATTGTTATGAAATGAAAAGCAGGTTAAAGCAAATTTGATGGAGATTTAATGTGCCATAAATTATTTCTTATTTTCCATAAACATCGTTGTTATGATTTTTTTAATTCAACTCTGCATATTTGATTGTTATAAATATAAAATGTTAATTTTAAAAAATCGTATCTCAAGAACGAATTGAGATATCATCATGAAATAAAGAACATTTTGAAGCAAATTTGATGGAGATTTAATGTGCCATAAGTTATTTCTTATTTTCCATAAACATCGTTGTTATGATTTTTTAAACCCAACTCTGCATGTTTGATTGTTATAGATATGAAATATAAATTTTAAAAAATCGTATCTCAAGAACGAATTGAGATATCATCATGAAATAAAGAACATTTTAAAGCAAATTTGATGAAGATTTAATGTACCATAAATAATTTCTTATTTTCCATAAACATCGTTGTTATAACATTTTTAAATCCAACTCTGCACATTCGATTGTTATAAGTATAAAATGTTAGTTTTAAAACATCGTATCTCAAGAACGAATTGAGATATCATCATGAAATAAAGAACATTTTGAAGCAAATTTGATGAAGATTTAATGTGCCATAAATAATTTCTTATTTTCCATAATCATCGTTGTTATGACATTTTAAATGCAACTCTGTATATTTGATTGTTATGTTATAAGTATAAAATGTTAATTTTAAAAAATCGTATCTCAAGAACGAATTGAGATTTCATCATGAACTAAAGAACATTTTGCAGCAAATTTGATGAAGATTTAATGTGCCATAAATAATTTCTTATTTTCCATAAACATCGTTGTTATGACTTTTTTAAATCCAACTCTGCATATTTGATTGTTATAAGTATAAAATGTTAATTTTAAAAAATCGTATCTCAAGAACGAATTGAGATATCATCATGAAATAAAGAACATTTTGAAGCAAATTTGATGAAGATTTAATGTGCCATAAATAATTTCTTATTTTTCATAAACATCGTTGTTATGACTTTTTAAATTCAACTCTGCATATTTGATTGTTATAAGTATAAAATGTTAACTTAAAAAAATCGTATCTCAAGAACGACTTGAGATATCATCATGAAATAAAGAACATTTTGAAGCAAATTTGATGAAGATTTAATGTGCCATAAATAATTTCTTATTTTTCATAAACATCGTTGTTATGACTTTTTAAATTCAACTCTGCATATTTGATTGTTATAAGTATAAAATGTTAACTTAAAAAAATCGTATCTCAAGAACGACTTGAGATATCATCATGAAATAAAGAACATTTTGAAGCAAATTTGATGAAGATTTAATGTGCCATAAATGATTTCTTGCTTTCCATAAACATCGTTGTTATGACCTTTTTAAATCCAACTCTGCATATTTGATTGTTATAAGTATAAAATATTAATTTTAAAAGATCGTATCTCAAGAACGAATTGAAATATCATCGTGAAATAAAGAACATTTTGAAGCTAATTTGATAAAGATTTAATGTGCCATAAATTATTTCTTATTTTCCATAAACATCGTTGTTGTGACATTTTTAAATTCAACAAGCAAATATGCAGCTTGTTAGAAGTATAAAATGTTAATTTTAAAAGCTCATATCTCAAGAACGAATTGAGATATCATCACGAAATAAAGAACATTTTGAAGCAAATTTGATGAAGAGTTAATGTGCCATAAATAATTTCTTATATTCCATTATGATTTTTTAAATCTAACTCTGTTTGTTAGGTCTTAGTGATACCTATACTTTTTGAGTCGATCGATAAAAGCTTTCGGAATTCTCTTTACCCGGAAGGGTATAGCTTACATCCCCTATAAACCGTGTTGGCATTACATTGGTTTCCATCTAACAACAAACAAAAACAAACACAACAAATAAAGAAAATCAACTTGTAACCGCCGCGGTAAAAGTTAAAAGTTACACTCGTACATTTTTGTAGCATCCAATATTTTTCAATTACCCTAAAGTGCAGCTTTACTGGATGGTATTTCCTGTACGTTTGCACCAAGATAAATTGAATTGTACGCAGCTGTTATGACTTTAATAACTTGATATAAAAAGTTTTTAGAAAAAATGTGAAACTGTTCAAATAAATTTTTTAGTTAAAGTTTGTGTATAATTTCAACAAGTGACAAACTGTTCTAATTAAGAATCCAATTAAAGGAAATGTTTCTATTTTCGTTAGAGTTTTGAAATTGTAGTTTCATCACTTCGATTGTGTTTGTTTACCTCGTTAAAATTGGAAAACCGTGTGTATGTCAATTTTGAATTCCCTATTGGATGCAGTATAATTACCTACATGGTAATTACAGAAAATTTTTCAGCTCAAGGAATTCTAACTAATATTAATCACCAAAAATCTCGGAATCATCAGCAACACGCAATGGATTTACACCCCCACGACCTGAATTAATTCCGTGAAATGCGCTACCAACAGGTAGGGTAAATGTATTCGAAATGCAAAAAAACTTTATGTGACTCCACCTGTTGGCATCGCGGCGCTTGCGCGTCTCTTCACTCACCGTATAATCGCGATGGAAACGCGCGAGTTTTGCCAAAGATCTTAACACCCATCGAGAACGTACAACATACTGAAAAAAAAAGAAAACAAAACCAACAAAAAAAAGAACATACAAGAAGCTACAAAGAAATCAAACCAGAAGAAAATTTAAAAAAATAATCCCAAAGGTAACTAACTTTAACTTTATTAAAATGATTAATGTTTAAATTTGTTGGGTAAATAAATCATTTTTAAAGGTTTGAAAAGAATAATGGTTCTTTGGGTATTATTACTTTCTTTTGCTTTCATCGCCGCGCAAGAACTTAGCGTTATTGATGCCGATTTGGAAAGTATGGACCCAGTGGACACGTTACAGTGTCACAGGAGATCGTATACTTACAAAGTTAGTCAAATGGATGTTAATGGAAGGCAATGCAGGGACACTCTAAGAGTTTGGGCGTGTTGGGGAAGGTGCGATTCTAACGAAGTAAGTAGTTAAATATACTTTTTAATGAGACAGAGACAAAGTTATTTAAGAATTTTTAAGTTTAACTTAAAAAAATGAAACGTTTAAAAAAGAAATCTTTAATTTAATATATTTATAAAAAGAGTTTGGGTTATTTGATAAATCGTTTAATGGGTTAAAATAAACCAATCGTACTCTATCAATTTTGGAGATAAATTGACCTAATTTAATATTTGTCTTTTAATCTCGTCATTATTCAAATATGGCAATTCAAACACAACGTTTGATCGATATCTCCAAAAAAGAAAAATAATTTAAAAATGTAATCAGCATAAAATAAAAAATACATTTTTGAAAGAATAAATTTATTCTTAACATAACAAATTTAATTTAAAATAATAAAGTGGGAATGCGAAACAATTTTTTTATTTCACTTTTTAGTGTACAACCAATAAAGTGAAGCAACGATTCGTGCTGTACGTTTAAATCTCTTTTAATATTCGACACTTTTATGAGAACGTGTTACGACTATCGGTGTATATTCTTTAACTGTATAGTCCATAGAAAGCTATATATTAAATCTTATAAACCGAGATTTATTTTCTACGTTTGTTATTTACTCTTAAATAAAGTGTATCATCATGATTTTTCATCACAATTTTTGGAAATCTTGCAAAATTGCATTGTGCTGTAAAACGTCAATTTTTAATAAATTATATCTGAGGAACTAATTGAGATATCGTCATGATGTAAAAAGCATTCAATAGCAAATTTAATTTGCAATTAATATCATATCTTCACAAATTCAAATTTGAAGCCTACGATTTTTTGATTTCAAACGCAATCATAGATGTCACACACAAAGATATTAATCTTTAATAAATTATATCTCAGGAACTAATTGAGATATCGGCGTGAGATATTATAGATTTTATAGCAAATTTAATTGCTATTTTATGTAACAAAAATTATTTCTTCAAAACATCAAATTTCTGAGATATGATTTTTTTAATTTAATCACAATCGTAGATGTTGTATTAAAAGATGTCAATTTTTAATGAATCATATCTCAGAAACTAATTGAGATATCAGAATGTGATAAAAAGCATTCAATAGCAAATTTAATTTGCAATTAATGTGCTCAACACCATATCTTCACAAATTCAAATTTCAAACCTACGATTTTTTGATTTCAAACGCAATCATAGATGTCACACACAAAGATATTAATCTTTAATAAATTATATCTCAGGAACTAATTGAGATATCGACGTGAGATAATAAGGATTTTATAGCAAATTTAATTGCTATTTTATGTAACAAAAATCATTTCTTCAAAACTTCAAATTTCGGAGATATGATTTTTTTAATTTAATCACAATCGTAGATGTTGTATTGAGAGATGTCAATTTTTAATGCATCATATCTCAGAAACTAATTGACATGTCAGCATGTGATAAAAAGCATTCAATAGCAAATTTAATTTGCAATTAATGTACTCAAAACCATATCTTCACAAATTCAAATTTCAAACCTACGATTTTTTGATTTCAAACACAATCATAGATGTCACACACAAAAATTTTAATCTTTAATAAATTATATCTCAGGAACTAATTGAGATATCGGCGTGAGATATTAAGGATTTTATAGCAAATTTAATTGCTATTTTATGTAACAAAAATCATTTCTTCAAAACTTCAAATTTCGGAGATATGATTTTTTTAATTTAACCACAATCGTAGATGTTGTATTAAATGATGTCAATTTTTAATGAATCATATCTCAGGAACTAATTGAGATATCAAAATGTGATAAAAAGCGTTCAATAGCAAATTTAATTTGCAATTAATATGCTCAAGATCATATCTTCACAAATTCAAATTTGAAGCCTACGATTTTTTTATTTCAAACGCAATCATAGATGTCACACACAAAGATATTAATCTTTAAGTAAATTATATCCCTACGATTTTTTGATTTCAAACGCAATCATAGATGTCACACACAAAGATATTAATCTTTAATAAATTATATCTCAGGAACTAATTGAGATATCGACGTGAAATAATAAGGATTTTATAGCAAATTTAATTACTATTTTATGTAACAAAAGTCATTTCTCCAAAACATCAAATTTCGGAGATATGATTTTTTTAATTTAACCACAATCGTAGATGTTGTATTGTAAGATGTCAATTTTTAATAAATCATATCTCATGAACTAATTGAGACATCAAAATGTGATAAAAAGCATTCAATAGCAAATTAAATTTGCAATTAATATGCTCGAGATCATATCTTCACAAATTCAAATTTGAAACCTACGATTTTTTGATTTCAAACGCAATCATAGATGTCACACACAAAGATATTAATCTTTAATAAATTATATCTCAGGAACTAATTGAGATATCGACGTGAGATATTAAGGATTTTATAGCAAATTTAATTGCTATTTTATATAACAAAAATCATTTCTTCAAAACATCAAATTTCGGAGATATGATTTTTTTAATTTAATCACAATCGTAGATGTTGTATTGTGAGATGTCAATTTTTAATAAATCATATCTCATGAACTAATTGAGATATCAGCATGTGATAAAAAGCATTCAATAGCAAATTGAAGAGAAAGATCATATCTTCACAAATTCAAATGTGAAGCCTACGATTTTTTGATTTCAACCGCAATCATAGATGTCACACACAAAGATATTAATCTTTAAGGATTTTATTACAAACTTAATTAGTATTTAATGTAAGAAAATTCATTTAAAATTTTTTTCTTAACATTCCAAATTCCTTTCTTAATTAATCGACAAGTATAAATTAAAAGTAAATACCTCAAAGATAGAAGGATACAGGATAGGTACGGACTTAATGCGGATTTTAATCGATCTCGTAGAGTTTTGTGGAGGTTTAATACAGGTTTTGCGATAATTGTAAAAGCGATCTTGTGCGGGTTTAGATGTGTAAAGTTTCCATTTTAATCCGGGACGAAAGCTTTCTTCGGGAATCGGGTCAAAACGCAAAATTGAATGAAATGAATAAAGTGTTAAATAGGGGGGGTGGATTTAAGGGAAAGATAAGTTTGAATTAGATGAGTAGATAATTACTTTAACTAATTAATTAGGCGAACGTGGAAAAAGGAGAGGATTCTAAAAAGTGTTCTATAGAGAACTGTTTAATGTAGAAAATTTTTTTTAAAATTAAATTATTTCAGTTAGCTTTCATAAATCGGAAAGAATTAATTAAAATTATCTTCCGCAAAGTTCAAACAGTGAATAAGCTTTAGCTCGTAATATGGTAAAAAGACAAATAAACGATAAAAGGTAATTCCCTCCAGAGACAATTTTAAAACCACAAATTAAATTTTTTTTCTTATTTAATTATAAAAGCACCGTTCCGCTTTCGGTCTGTTTTGATTTCGTTTCATTACTGTTTGTTTTCGCGTTGTAAACAGATTTTTTTAAAATTGCAATTAACGGCAATTTTCTAAAATACAATTTTTAATTTATGTCCCAATTTTCCACGAAAATAAAACTTTTCCGGAAAGAGGACACGTCTCCAGGTAACGGTGCATCAAATTGTTTTCTCGTTTATGCAAACCTCATCCTCCACAACTTTAGATTATAACCGCGAAGGGAAAAAAAGTCGAAGACTCCCAACTTTCTTATTTAATATTCATTGTTTTTACAAGGATTTAAAACAATTTTTTGATTAATAATTATTATATTAGATTTAACTTTCCTGGAAAGTCAGATATTTGCGAAACAACTAAAACTAGATCTAACAATAGCATTAAAACTAGAATTAATACTTGCACTAGAACTAATACTAGACCTAGAACTAGAAACATTTGGGTTTAAACCCGAATGTTTCTAGTTCTAAATTTAGAGGTAATTCTCTCTAAACCTAACTCTTTAGACTAGTGTTGAAAGGTTAAAAACATTTCTTTTAGATTTCAGATTATCGTTTTCCTTTTAAAAAATCATCACATCCAGTTTGTGTGCACTACGCAAGAACTAAATCGGTTGCGTTTTTAAGAGATTGCGATGAAGATGCTTTACCATTAACGGCAAGATACGAGTATTTAGAAGCTGCGAGCTGTCGGTGTCAACTGTGTTCTTCATCTGACACAAGTTGTGAGGGAGTTAGATATCGAGCGAATCGATCTCATCCGGATCGTTTAGGATTTGGAATTCGCCAATAAAATGATAAATGTTAATTAAAAATGTTATTGTGTGTATTTATTTCTTAAAAATATTTAAAAATATACTATGAATGAGGCAATTTATTTTTTTATTTATTTTACCCTGAATCTTGTTTATTACAGGTTAAATAAAGAGGTAGGTAAAACAATTTTCGTTTTATGTGAGTGAAGCAAATAGCTTGTAAAAAAGGTAAGCTAATGTTTTCACAGGGAAATTAAAAGGGATGTTGTAAAGGAAGTAACGATTTGACGTTAACTCGTGAGATAAAAAAAATTCTTTGTTTAATTCAATCAATATAAACACAACTCGTAATAGTCTTGAGTTAAGAATAAAATTGCTTTATTCAATAACTTTACTAAAATGATAAAACACGTTACATCCTAAGTAAAAACAATAAATTACTGTTGAATATTCCACAAATTCGCAAGAGCTTCCAGGCGATTTTCTCGGAAATTTGCGATACTTTATTCGCGTTGTTTTCTAGAACAGATTAAAATTCATCGCCCGACATCGGCGTTGATGCAAATTCAAGAATCCCTTTATTATACAGTAAGCAACGATTAACACCTACATAATGAAAGGGTTTTGAAGTCAAGATGTTAATTCATTATCTAATCAACAACTTCATTAATTCAAAAATTTCCAAGAAGTGATGTTTTTTTCAATGTTTACTTTCTAAGTATTCAAATGGGATCAATAAAAAGGTTACACGGCAATAACTTGATAATATAAGACAATAACTTGAAATATCAAATGGTGGGGTGTAGTTTCGATGTAATTCCGTGGAAAAGAGTCCCCGAACCTATCGTAAATTGCTCCCTCAAGCGTAAGAAACCTCCTCCTCTGGCGTAGGTTAGTTAATGACCCGTTTTATGGGCAAGGATCTTTTCCAGTTTGTTCCTGATAATGCTAGCGATCTTCCTTTCGTGTCTTAGCATATATTAAGACTGCGTCACTGACAATCTTTTTGTGGTATAATGCACTAAATATTCAAAATTTGTAAAGCTCTACTTATCAACCTGTTTTTAATCTTATAAAAATTGGCGATGAAATTAAATTTAAAAATTTATACAAAAAACTTGTAACTTGAAATTAATTTCGAAGTAAAATATAATACCTAGCACAGTTATAAACAAAGTTTTACCTTAACTCAATTAATATTGTTTTAGATCTTCTTTAAATTTTACATTTTTTGTACAAAAAAATAATGGTAAAAGTATTTTGACAGCTGTCAAGGTCAAATTTTTAGAGTTTCTGTTGGTATTACCTAGGGTCCCTATAAAATTTATGAACGTTTTCTAATTTCTAATAAGATTTTCGATTAATAAATAATTGAGGTTAAAAAACGAATATTACATTAATTTTTAAGTAAGAAGCAAATTTTAATTATTTAAGTATAAATATAAAAGTGAATTATGTTTATTTGAATATTGAAAGTTAAACGTCAAAGTGACATAAATTGATTTCAAAACTTGCTACAGCAAAATTCAACAATTACCAACTTGACAGTAATTTGACAGATGTTATAGAAAAATTTTTTTTTTAAATAGAAGCTTATTATTATTATTGCTGTCGGGCTGAAGGGAGCGGCCCCTCTCTCTGGAAGTTATTTCCACCATAACGTTACCTTTGAGGTTACCCAACTATTGATTGCCTTAAGTGGCTTTTTTGTAGTCCACAGCCAGGTTGGGGTCCAATGAACGGCGTTCTTTGGCCAGCTTGTCTGCCTTTTCATTGCCCTCAATGTCTTTGTGACCTAGAACCCACTATAGAGTAACATCATTACCCCTAGCGAGTTCTTTCAGATTGCTGGTACATTCTCTGATCAGTGCAGAGTCACACGTGTAGGTCTGAATTGCTTTTAAGCGGCCCGACGGTCCACTTTTCTTGCACTTTTCTAGGTTCAAAACTGTGCGGAAGTTTATAGCAAGAATTTAATAAGAACTAATAGAAGCTTAGAAGATTATATCTATATCACGAACGATTTGAGATAGCATAATGAAATAAAAAACATTTTCAAGCAAATTTATTGAGGAGATCATAACCTCGTTATTATGATACTTTAAACTTATCTCTACATCTGTAGTTATATATTCCTTACTCTACGGGTTTTGAATTTTATCACAATCAGAGGGAGATTTTTTGGCCAATTAAAATAAAATCAACAGTAAAAGCTCGATATGACACCAGCATCTAGAAAATCAATTCTTTTTCTAGAAAAGATGTGTTTTTCACTGATTAATCAGAAATGCGCGTGTAAAGATTACCATATGTTGAAAAATGGCATTTTAATGAATATCCTTTTGGTGCGTGTTGATTAAAGAATTAATTAAAAGATGTATTCGGGGTGCGACAAAGCGAAACGTACCCTTCGGGAAATAACCTGATATGAATGTGATTATACTCGCATTATCTTTCCAATAATTCGTCTTTGTAATCCTTTTTAACCAAATCATCAAAAAAGAAAATATTTCTTTTAATAATACTTTATCAACAAATTGATTAAAATAAAAACCAATATTTTTTTTATATAAATAAACAATTTATTACACAATAAATATACACAATATATATAATTTTTTTCAGTCAGTCAGTATAATATTTACAAGTTATATAATTAAATTAATGAATGCAAGTCGATTTTTAGTTTATTTTAAGATAATAAAATCACATTTTTTTTTGTTCTTTTATTACCTTGCTCGAGACATAATTAGGATTCATGTTAATCTTTTTTGCAATGGTAACAAGAGCAACTAGCAGCCGATTTAAAAGTTAACTTCTTGTATCCATCGAGACATCTAACAACTGCTTCCAAAGGTTCCGATTCCATAATGTTACAACACTGCCCGACGGAAGTAATGGGTTGGGTTGGACTTGCTTTAGGTCCTGAAGGAATCGCCCAACTTTCACAATAACCACGACAAGCATTGGTAATCATTTCGAATTCAACACAACCAGGGATTCGAATTTTTCTCGTATGACCTAAAAAAAAATAATTAATAAAAGAAATATTTAACTAAAAAAAAATTGTTTTTAACTAACCTACTTTATGACAACCAGGTCTTTGCCAAGCATCTTTAGAAGAAACACTCGATGGTAATACAGCGTTAGAAATTGATAGCAAAACTATCAATAACCAACAAGTTAACATGCTAAAAATTCAACAGAAAAAAATTAAAACACAAAGAGATAATTAATTAAGTTTTACCTGATCAGATCTGTGCGATCTGCGGTGATGTTTAGGCAACGACAAGGCTGCAAGTGCGAGCTTTGAGCTTTTAACGGAGTTTTGTTCGAGGTATTCACCCCCACTACACCCTCAACTTCCGCCCACATGCGTTTTAAGCGTTGGAAAACAACCCCAAAAGAGATGTAGGTGTTAAATTAGAAAAAAAATAAAAGGAATTTAGTTCTCGTTTTAACTTTATTTATCAGTTATTTTCACTTTCCTAACTCTTTTAACAACATCGATATCTAAATTTGCATTATTAACGATTCCGACGTTATCCTTGTTCTGATCTTTATGGCTGTAAGTGACTCCAAACAATTTTGCCAAGACATCGACAGCTCGCAATGCAACTTCGTTATCCGCATCTTCATCACAAATCTTTAAATGGTTAAATAAAAATTAAAACCAACTAAATAATAGAAATTAAATAAGGCTTAGTGATGTTACTCACAACGTTTGCGATTATGTAGGATGTTATTAACACGATGAAAATTTTCCACATTTTTCTAAAGTAAAAAAAAATCTAGTTTTTGAGCTTTATAATACTTAGGAGTCGTAAAATCTTTTAAAAATCAATTTTTTCCATCATTAAGATCAATTTCTTTCATAATCCATTGTTCTTAATGAAGCAAAAACCGATTTTTTTTTTCTTGAAACTTTTTCCTCAATATCAATTTCGACCAAATACCTACTACAACAACATGTTTAATTACAAACTTATTTTCTTTTTAGTTATTATTTCGTTTTTATACCAAACAACGGTAAAATACCTTAAATTAATCATGATTTTATTCTTTCTTTTCAAGTTGTTTGCTTTAGGTGATGGTGACGTCGATCAAACTCGCTCAAAGTTAGATGACGAAGAAGTACAATTACGCTTCGATGTTCTTAATTTTTTAGCCCACATGATGCCCGGAATGAGAAAACGGATTAATGACTCCAAATCAGATAATATCGAGCTAAAAAATGAAGGAAATATGGGGTTTGATATTAAAACGGTGGATGTATGAATAGAAATACAAAATTAATGATTCGAAATAAAGTGATACAAAGTATAATTTTTATTAATTTAATAAAAGTCAAGAAAAGTACAAAGAATCCGGTTGACAGGTTAATTTTTGACATGCAATGTCAAACATGACATTGGATGTCAAAAGTCACTCCATTTTTTAAGGTTATGTTTACTTGTCAAAATAAAGCTTAATTATAAAAAATATAATAAATAAACAAGATAAGAGTGATTTTTTCATATCTAAATTATTCAGTATCATTTAATGAAAGCGGTACCTCTTTGGAATTTTATAAATATATTACTGGCACTTTGTAACACGAAAGTTAGGTTAGTTTTGAATGTTGTTTGAATCTTCCCATTATTTTGAAATGTAACAGAAATTATATAAACAATAGTTATATAAGATTTTATTTCATAATAAAAATATATTGCGTTTTAAATCACATGGATACCTACATTGCATGTTTACCATATGAAATTAATATAAAAAAGTAATTATGAATAAATATGTATATTATAATAATACTTTATGCCAGGGTATTTGCTGCAGTCTTTCGAAACCGTCTCCTTTTACAAACATTATCCACCATAACTTCCACCATTTGATGCAGTAACATTATAGAAAAAAATGTTGCTAATCCAAGTCCATACAACCCCGATACAAATGATAAAGCAAGCCTATACAAAAAAAAGATAAGTGATAGTGTAAAATTTAATCTACACAAATGTTTTTGAACTCACTCAAATAAATCATAAGCATACGAACAATCATCAGGTAGTAAAACCGACCCATAAAATAAAAATGGATGGCACACCGTAGTTAAAGTAAGATTACATCCATATAAAAGAGAAGAAACCATTGCAAATAAACCCATTATGTAATATTTTATGTTATAATCACCTATACAATAACCCAACCTTTAAATTAAAACTGTATTAGATTAATAAATATGTTTTTAATTTATTTTTTTACCACAAACTATGGGTGCTATTTACAGGAACCATTTTTTGGCACCCAACACAATGCCAACCAGAATTATCTATAACACAGCATTTTTTCGCCTTCCAAAACCAATAACAACCAAGCAAAATGACAATAGTCAATGCTATATTCTCTTCTAAAAGTATTTCAAGGAATGGTATCACAACTAACTCAAACACTAAATAAAGTATGATAAAAGAAGTGTTGATCCAAACTTGAAAAAAATTGGTACAACAGTTTTGAGTAAAAAGTTTCATGCATATTAATAACAGGACTAAGGCGATGGCTGCAAGAATGGTCCATACTATTCCATTTGTTGCTAGTAATAAAAAAAGTGGTATAAAAATTATAGATAAGATTATTTCCGGTGATATTCGCTTTGCTCCTCCTATCCAAGGTAGTCTTAGGCGATCAGTACAGGCGGAAAAGCAGTTTTGTTTGTTGTGCTGAGGAAAGCCATGACCGGTTATAAGACTACAAAAAATTACAACAAATAAGTGAATAATTGAGTTAAAAAGAAGATTCACCTTTCCATTCCTTCATCAAAATCTTGACAATCACAGCAACATGCCAGGATGTGATTAATCTGGTTATTTTGATCGATATATTCACAACAACATAAGTAGTTATTACTTTCCGGACTCATTGAATTACAACCTCATTTATGATTTATTCCAATATCATTATATGATTCTTTATCATTTATGGTTTTAGTGTTGCATATCAAGGTTATTTTATCTTATTTCTCACCCACATTCAACAAAATATCAAATAAACATTTTAATAAACTATGCTGATGAAAGTAATGCTAGGGTATTTTATTTCTCAATGTTTAATAGTAACAATTTATTTAAAACTAATTTATTATTAAAATATATCGTAATATTTTATTTATGATTATTTATGTAAATATAACGCTATAAGAATAAGAAATTAAAATAAGTTAAAAATAAAACAGTTTATTTGTTTGAACTGTCAATTGTCAAATAGTTGTCAAATATAAGATATCTTAAATTTTAATAAATTTAACAATATCATTATATGATTCTTTACTATTTCTGGTTTTATTGTTGCATATCAAGGTTATTTTAGCTTATTTCTCACCCACATTCAGCAAATATCAAATAAACATTTTAATAAATTGATGAAAGTAATGTTAGGGTATTTTATTTCTCAATGTTTAATAGCAACACTTTATGTAAACCTAATTTATTGTTAAAATATATCCTAATATTTTATTTATGATTATTTATGTAAATATAACGCTATAAAAATAACAAATTAAAATAATTTTAAAATAAAACAGTTTATTTGTTTGAACTGTCAATTGTCAAATAATTGTCAAATATAAGATATCTTAAATTTTAATAAATTTAACAAGTTATTTGTATATGCCGAATTAAATAAGTTTAATTAATATAAAAATAACTTAATTAAACCACGAAATGTCGTTGACATCAAAATTTACATTAGGTACAGCTTGTTTAATTTCCGTAGGGATTATAGGTTATGTCCACTATAAGCAACAATTTGACAGGTAGGTGTTATTTATTAAAATATTTTGGTTATTTATTATTAATTTATTAGAGAAAGACTTCATGTGGGCGTAATAAAAGATATTGAAAGACAACAAAGACGAAAAACGGAAAATCTTTATTTATTACAACAACAAATTGATTTTACCAAAGAAGCTAAAAAAGTACAATATGACGAAATACCAGGAAGATAGCGTTTAGTATTAATTTATAAACACTGTAGTTAATGTAAATATTAAAATATCACAAATTGTAATAAGATTTTTTTAACTATATTCTATGTCCTGATTGGAAAATCGAACTTTTTTATTATCCAAATTACTGTGGCCAAGTTCGAAATTTCTGTTTATTTCTTGCATGGTCATTTGCATGTATTTCTTTTCATAATGTAATTTATAACGTTTCGTTATACAAAATGATATAGCCACTATTATTATTATTAATAAAATCCAAAGAATTATAAATATCGTTATCATATAACCATCTAAACAAGCTGCCCCAAGTTCTAAAAAAACAATAAAATCGTTGCTTAATGTTTAATTAATTAAAATTCATACCAATATCTGATATAATTAATTGATGGGCAGCATCATAAAGATATTTATCTTTTGGGTCCCCTTTAACTGTTAAATTTAATTGTAATGGAACTTCAGTCATTTGTTTACCAATAATTTCATAAGAATTCTTTGATAAATTTTGAACTTTAGAAGAAGCAGTTTCTCGTTTTGTTCTTATCCTTGCAATATCTCCACAATCAACCTATTAATTAAATTTAGTTAATTAAAAAATTGTATCACTACAAAGATTTACCCCTGGACATTCTCCATTACAAAATTGTACAACAACACTAAATCTTATAATCGGCGACGTTGTGAATTTAAATGCTTGAAATTTTGCGGTTAATCTTGTTGTATTTCCATCCCTTGTTTTAATAAGGGCTGGAAATACTTGAAGATTTGTTGGACATCCTCTGTCGTCTATTAACGGGATTAAATCTTGAAGATTATCACTCATCGCTACTAAATGGTTAGCAGAAATATCATATTCTAAAAAAATATCAATTTTTTAATTTGTAAAGTTATAGTAAATTAATAGTAATAATAAATTGCCTTGTGATGTTTCCGCTTCAATAATCAATTCTAATTCTTGACCAACCAAAGATTCACTTAATTCTTGTTTAGTTTCTGCGTCAACAATTCTCATTGTAACGTGAGGTGAGTTTGTTGAGTTTATTAAAGTTTCCACTGATCCAGAACCGGGGTATTCCCTGCATAAATAATTTAATCATTACAAAAGTAATTAATTAATAATTTTAAATTACGTCGTAAAATTAACTCCGGTTCCAACTACAACTTTCGTTGAATTTCCATAAATACATCCAATTCTAACTACACGATCCGCTTGAGTTTGAACCAAAGAATTAAATTGAACTATCATTGTGGTGGATAAAAGCGTACTAAAAATTGAATTAAGAAAATTTTGAATTAATTTTTAATATATTTTACCTATTCAAATCATTTTTAGCTTTAATTATTCCACAAACGCCTATTTTTAAAGGAACGGTTAACTTTATTTCTTCTAATCCATGTCCTTTTACATTACATTCAGGATCATCAAAATGTCCTGTTGTATAAAGTCTCCCATCAAATCTATTTTTTGGCCGATATCGAATAATCATGTTTTTATCGGTACATTGAACAGAAACTACAACAAAGAATTAATTTTATTTATTAAAGAGATAAATAAGAAGTTATACTATTTAAACACGGTGCTTTTTCATAATAATTCCCCAATTCATTCTTTTCTAACAATTTTGGTCCTCTTATTTTGCTATCTTCACTATGTAACAAACAAACATTCGATTTTTCAATAAAACTGTACCCCCTACAAACGAATTCTTCAGTGTTTAAACATTTATTTTCACACTCTTTTTTAGTAATTCCATTTATTTGTAAATCTGTGTGAGTTAAAGTTTTGTTAAAATATTCTTCAAAAGAACAAAAATCTTCTTTATTTGCTAAAATTAAACTTTGTTAATCATAAAAACTTTATACATAAAACTTACATAAAGAACATTGATTTCCATAATATTCTTCATCGGATCTTGACGCTCTAAACGAACTAGCCGACAAAATTCGATCTGTATCACTTAAAATACATCTACCAATAACTTCCGTTTGATTCGGACGTCCAACCAAAAACTTTGCAGAACGACAATGAAAACCAGTTTCATTTAAACATAACTGTTGACATTGTTGTCGTGATATTATTGAAGGAATTCTTTTTGCATCATTCCCAACTAATGTAGCACCCGGGGCACGTTCAAATATCCAAGATTTATTACAATTTTCAACTGAAACAGATTCTATTTTACGACGATCAAAATGTATTCTTATCAGGAACCTTTTAAGCAAGTTTTTAAAAACCAAGCAACATGCGAATCACTAATACTATCATATTCTTCGGACGCATAAATTTTTTCCCTGTACCAATAACACGTTTGATTCTGGTAGTTCAAGATAAAACCTTGACAATCATCAATGTCGCCGCATTTCCGCAAGCATTGCAGCGTAACCGGCAATTTATTTGGATCTCTGAAGAGCAATAACGGTTTGATATTCGGTGGTCTTAATCCTATCACTTTTTCGAAGTTTACATTTTCTTTTGGGCAGTTTGATATTTGAGCAACTAAAAGAAATTGATTTATTGATATTTTGAAATAATAAAACATGAATGAAATGTCCTGTAGTTAATTATTTATGTTAATTAACTTTGATTGTTATTGAGTTGGGGAAAAATAAATGGAACTTTAATGGAAATAATGAGACAAGGTCAAAAGATAATGTTTGTTTTTGTTGAATTAAAAGGAATGAAGTTACTATAACGGTTTTGACTTGCACAATAAAAAAAGGATAAAACCAAATAATTATAAATATTTTGGTTACCATATTTTGGTATTTTGCTTGGTCATCATATTGTGACGCCTCGGCCACAATCAGGCTTTATCAACTAAAGTTATAAATCTTTTGATCCCAGTGATTAATATTATATCAACCTCAGACAAGTCATCATATTGTGGCGCAGCAGTCAAGACGCTTACTAGCAGTGATTATCAACCTGCTAAGACTGCCAGATTTAAGACTGCTAAATCATACTATACTCACAGAGGTTAACTCTGACAACATACCAGTCATTATTACAATAATGAAATTACAATGAAAAAGTAAACTGGCCTTATTTCCTTCCAAAACACTGATACAATTGTGCAATCCATCTATTTTTTCCCAAAACATGGAAGCACGCAAATATCTTGCTTTTTCATAGACCAGGTAAACCAAAGAAATAACTTGAAAGCTACAGATATCAATCTATTGCCACTCCAATTTCTGTATTAGCTAAAAAACAAGTAGTTTCTAATGGGCACGATCAAATTACCTATTCAGAATAACCAAATATAAAGATTGCATTTGAGGCCAAATGGTATTTAGTAGCATTGTTTGTAGAATCAGGAGCTGAAGTAACCAAATTTAGAAACTAAATGTATTAGAGCTGGTGTCCGTCTTGACAGCGTCTTGAGCTCTGTTCTATTTAACATCTGATATACTGGAAACTAGTGCATCTATAGCAATGTATCGCAAATCGTAATTAATCAACTTGAGTAATCCATAAATATAATTGCCAACTGATTTAAAATGTATGTATATATTATGTATATACTAATCTCGATAATTTAATTAAATCTTGATTGACGTAATATTAATTAATAACATTGCGTCAATTTTATACGCATATTATAAAATTTATCCTCACCTACTACATCTTCATTGACAAACACTAAAATCACCATAATTAAATTGACCAGCATTTCACCACACTCATATTCCAACTCCGCCTAACTAAAAGAAAAATTCAAAAAACTAATTTTCGCCACTTTCGTCTCCAACCCAACCCGCCAAACTGTTCTACATCAACTGGAGGAAATCACCGTTCCAACTCCATAAATCACCTCTCGTTTTATCAGCTTCAAATAAGTACTGAAGATGACCGTAACAGTAGACAAAAATCTACGGGCACTGTTACCTCACAATATTGCACGCAAATGCAATAATGGGAGAAAAAAAGTTTTAAAGTAGTAGTTGCGATTACGTAAGTGTCCTTGGTCTATATCGTTACGTTGATGTGCAACCGTATGCACATCTATAAAGTCTACAATATTGAAAAGCGACGCGAAGCTTTGTCGAATGAAAGCTTTCCTTCGAAAACCTCCTTCTTTCAAAATCATTTGATTGTCAAAGAATATTGTTGGGTAATTTTTTAGGTAATAGGTAATAATAAGTGGGTGGAGAATGACAATGATGGTGTCCTGTTGAAATCCGATAGTTACAGGATGTTAATGTAATTGACGGTGATGATGATGAGTGGGTTGGGTGGTTTATTGGTAAATGAAACAGGCTATTATTGATTTGAGAGTCAGTTTGAAATAATGTAAATTATCAAGTTCTTTTTAACTTAGAAATAATAATAAATTAAGTTTTCGTAGAAGAATGTATTATTTATAACTTGTCATAACCAATATCTGATGACCTCATACGAAAAAAAAAAACATTTAACATTCGCATAACTCACATATTATGAGTTACATACTTAAACCTCTTTTATGTTTAATGAATCATATTCTATTTATAAATTTGTAAAATAACTATTTTTAAAAACTTTATAATTTGAATTAGTCAAAACCTACCTTACCAACAATCAACAATATATTTGACATTTACATAACCTCAATCAATTTTTGGTTATAATTAGATATACTTTTTATAAAAATGGTAAGAAAGAAAAATTTAATTCAATAAACTAATAATAATTCGTCAATTTTTAGAAACCTCCAATACACTGTCCAGTTTGTACATCACTTAGTAAAAATAATAAATTAATTCTATATCAAATAAATCTCACAAAAGCTGTGTATTTGTGTGAAGATAAAAGTTGTAGTTATCCAAAAGGGCATAATTGGGTAGAAATAAACAGATCTTGGAAAGAAATACCAAAAGACACGGAAAAATTAAAAACATTAAACACAGATTCATCGGAATATAATGATCCCAACATTTCAGATGATTTTTCCATCGATTCCAATGAGTTTCTAGACAAAATCTTTAGTGAATTTGAAAATACATGTGATACTACAGGAAGCGCAACAACAAATGAATTTGAAGAGGACTTTGATATGGAACAATTTGAAAAGGACTTTTTTTCTGAGGATTTATTCAATGATACCAATGACATTATGGATAAATTAGATGTTAACCAAGAAACTGGTCCTAAAATATTAGAAAATCAAGGTGATTATAAAAAGGAAATATTAACTAATACAAATAATGGAAATTTAAAACCAAAAATTTTAAATGTGGTTATGCTAAAACCATCTCAAACTAAAATAGAGCAAGCACATCCAAACGCTTGTAATAATAATAAAAGAATTAAAGTGACGGTTCGTAAAGATCCCGGTTGCAATATTTCTCAAGAACAAATACAAAAAATATTAAAAAAGCTACCTTCATCAAATGGTGAAACTGTTGTGTTAAATTTTAAATCTTCTAAGTTGAAAAAATCTATGTAATAGAGTATTAATTCAAATATAATTTTTATTGTCATATTTATTTTATATTCTAAAATTATTTGTTTTCATTTTTCTAAAATTAAATAAAGCAAAATAAATTTTTGTTCAATTTAAACAAAAATTTGGAATATAGGTTGGTAGCACTTATTGACCTTGTTTTTCTTTCCTTAACTAACTTCATTCCTTTCCATCTTGGAGCCGGTTTTTATTATTTCCTTCAAATTTGTCTTAATCACGTTATTTCCCATTTATAGCATTATTGAAATAAAATACAACGAAATGGTATGATAAAAATATTAGTGTATCATTAAAGAATATAATAAAACATATTTTGTAGGATGACATTAAAAGTAAAGCTGCAGAGACAGAGGCACTTATATCAAGCGTTCTAACCTCAAATCCACTTCGGATGACCATCAGAGATTTAGACCGACAATTTAAGGAGTTAAATGGATATCGAATCCCGTTTAGTGAATTAGGATATTGCAGTCTTGAGTCGTATTTGCACTCAATACCACATTGTTTAACAGTAAGTATTTTTGTTATGGTGTTTACAACTTTGTATTTAATGGATTGTTATTTTTAGGTTAATGGTAGAGGTTATGATGCTGAGCTTTGCTTAATGATAAGTCAAAAATCTGCGCACATAGACAGTTTAATTCGTAAACAAAGACCTCCAAAAAGAAAGCCAAGATTATCAATTCAAAATCCTCGGGTTAATTTTAGTAATCATCAGCCCATTTTTACTTATCAAAGTCCACAAATTCAAAAATCAGTTCCATTTGTTCAAAGGAGACGTTCGGAAGAATTTCATTTAAGAAAAACCCCAGATAATAATATTCAAAATGTCCCATCAACACTACAAAATAATATCACACCAAATATACAACATATTCCTAGTTTGTTAAATCAAAGTCTACGGCAACCTCACAAAATATTTGAAAATGTTCCATCAACATCTCAAAATAATCAAAATCCTTCAATGGTTGAAGAAAAAATTTCCAATGCAGTTAACCCAATTTCTTTAACATCTAGAGGTGTAATACCAAAAAGTTACAATAACAAAAACAACTCTACAACATTAAAGAAGAATGTGCCATATTACATTCAGAATCGATTAAAAGAATTAATTAGTAATCATCCCGAAGGTTTACATAGTAGTAAATTAATTGAACTATATAAAAAAAAATTTAAGCACAACTTAAATTATAGCAATTATGGCTACAAATCGATTACACATTTTTGTTTAGATTTTAAAACAATTTTTGCTTTTAAACCTTTAGTAGGTGCAAATCTTCAAATTTATGATAAAGACTTAAATTTAAAACTTGAACATGGACCCGAAAAGGATGAAAAAGACATTGAAGAAAAACAATTTGACGATATTAATTGGGAGAAGACACATCAAAATAAAGATCCACCATTACCTGATGGTATTGAGGTAATAATTACTTCTATATGTTGTGTCCCAGATATTAAACATTTTGAAAATGGATTAAAATGTTTAAATTCATCATATATTGATGAATATTAAAGGTAGTTTTATTTAACCATTTTCAAAATTATCTGAGATATCATTGTATTTAAAAACATGATATATATTTATAAGTATTAATTAGTATTGATTTAAAAATTGAAAAATGGGAGTGGTCAAATTAATTTAATTTAGTTTAAGGTCATAATTACAATGCTAAATTTCTTCAGAAATGGTATAGGAATCTTCTAAAGGTAATAATTGTGTTTATATATCAAATCCAGTATCTTTCTCAAATTGCCAAGGTCGCTTGTGGGCGAGTCCTCCAAACTTGATGATTTTTCTCAAGCTACCTTGGCGATTTAAAACGAAATCGTTCCATATACAGTCGAACCTGGATAAGTGGGATCTCTTGAGAACAACTTTAAAATCTCACTTATAGAGGTGTCCCTGTTATGAAAATCTTAATCCTATATACAGAGGTTTTTTTATGGAATCAAAAAGAAATGAAACAATCAATTTCATTTAAACTAAAACAAACATTTTATTAATTAGAGAAAATAATTGGTTATATGCAATTGTTTTTTTTTAATTGTCTTCTATGTTTATTACAAGATTTTGTACTTCTTGTTCTTCAACATCTTGTTCATCTTGATCCAAGTTTTCATTAAGATAAAGTTCCAAAATGTCGTCATCATTTTGATTTCCTCAAATAATTAAACCATTGTCCATGATTATGAAATTCCATGCAGTGGTCTGATCTTCACATCTTTCAGTAACAGTCATCCAATGTTCGCGTTGTTTTGATGACTCATTTTCTTGTCTAAATCCAATAACTAATCCCGAAAGATAATGGAAGTTATCGACAAGTTTTTGTTATTTTTGTAATTTATTGGTAGTGTCTTAATATTTTGGAAACATCTTGGTTTCTTTGATTTTCTAATCCAAAGTAATGGTATTTTTTCAGTCCTGTCCATAATGTTACTCGTTCTTTGCTGTTTTTGTTATCATGACAATCGTAGTTTTTGAAACAACTAGTTTTGTCAGGAAGACATTTTAAACATAATCTAGTCTCGTCAGCATTAAAAATGTTTTTCGGTTCATGTTTCCTTGGAATTTCAGATGATTCGTTAATCCAAGCATTACAAACCGTGTTATTCACAGATTTTTTTCAATGTCAAATCATTCCTCTTTTTATCACCTTCTTCTCACAAAACCATTAAAATTTAATTTTTTTGCAAAATCTAAGGCCTTTTCTTTTAAACTGTTGTCATTAAATTTATAGATATATTTTGTGAGTTACACTGATCTATCCATTTTGTAAAGCAATCTTCCAAAATTGGAAACTCTGGTAGCCATTTAAGTTTTCCGTGTACTTTGGACGATTCATCTAAAAGTTTATTTGCATCTACTAAAATTCGTCGGTAGCGACCTATAAGATCTATTGTAACTTTAGCCCTCCAAAAGTTTAGGGCAAATGTAGGTCCTTAATGAACCTCAGTATTGCTCCAAGGTCTTGTTCCTTTATGTCGGTAGGTGCGACGCAATTACACAGTATATGTTCAGCCGTTTCTGACTCGACCTTGCAAAGTCGACAAGTTTGATCATCAACTTGTCCAATGTGGAAGAGAGCCTGAGAGTGTCCTTTAATCCCCTTTGCTGATGCATAAAACCTCTTTGGTTTTGTTTTGCGACGGAGATATCATACTCTTCGCTTGTCTGTAATCTGGAAGTTCACAATCCTTGAGATTGCATCGGCTTGATTTTCCAACCTGTTTTCAGTGATGAGGGCTTCTTTTGTATACAGGTAATTCAAATTCGACCCCCACCATTGGATCTCAGAAACCATAAAAGATACAGAAATGGTTGCAATCTTAGAACAACAAAGTTGCATATCTTAGAGCTCATCATTTTTCAACTAAGTTTTTGGATCTAGCCGTTTTAGTTTTTAAAATATGGCCGAAGAACAAAAAAATGAATTTTCCGTTTTTTGCCTATAACTTCTTTATTTTTTGTTTAAGGATTTAAATTTTTTGCAATTTTTTCCGCCATTTTTAAGCTAGTTATGACGTTATCGCTATTTTTTTCAAATAGTAATCCCCCATTTTTATTACGGAATATGGAAGAGTATTTTTTTCTGAATTTGGTACAGCCAAAATTAATATTAACTGCATAAGAAAATTTTCGAGAAAAATTGCCTTAAAGTTTCATGATTTTCCACTCATTTGAGGTAGAAAAATAGCAGTAGCCATGCGTAACCATGGCAACCAGTTGTTTTAGATATTTTATTAAGACAATGATTAATTTTTGACATTTGAAACAGTTGGTTGCCATGGTTACGCATAGCTACTGCTATTTTGCTATCTCAAATGAATGGAAAATCATGAAACTTTAGGATAATTTTTCTCGAAAATTTTCTTAAGTAACCAATATTAATATTGACTGTACTAAATTAAAAAAAAAGTCCTCTTTCATATTCCGTAATAGAAATGAGGTTATGCTATTTAAAAAAAAACGATGACGTCATTACTCGTTTAAAAATTGCGAAAAAAATTTAAAATCTATACCAAACCTCATTTTTACTACAAGAAATATCATTTTGCACTCTGACAGAATCTTGAAGATAACAAAGACTCAACCTTTGATGATGACAACTTAATGTACTTAATGTTCAATAAATTTGTCATACCTAGCGAACAATAAAATACTCTCTGCATACAACTATTTTTGGAGTTTTTACTCCATAGTGGTGTTTCAGGTCAATTTGATTCGTGGAATGTCCCACCAAGTATAACAGTATTATGATAAGTCTGACAAACTACCAAGAGCCATTATGTTAAAGTTTCTTTCTTGAATCTGCACCTTTCCAGAAAATTCCAAAGCAGGAATTCGAAAGAATTCCACAGAGCTTTAAATGATGAAGTGTAATTTCATTTTTTGACGCGGCAGTGAAGTTGAACCTTTGGACCAAGTGAAAGACAACAAAACAATAATGTTATGCAGATCTTTAAGTTTATAGGTACTTTGTACAGATTCCTAATATCTTTCCATTTTTTGATTATCTTCTCAGATTCTGTATCTTATGCTTTATTGCCAATCTAAAAATATAGTAGGAATTAACCTGTTGTTAGTAGAGGTGACGCCGCAGAGGGGAAAAAATCTTACAATTAGATATATCTAGTGATTGTAATTTAGTGAGTAAACTTTTTTATTGTAACACCGGCGCCTTCGTCCTATTTACAGAGGTAAAAAAGTTATTAAAGTGGAACAACTCCTACTTATTGAGGCTAGAATGGGGAAAAATGATCCCAGTTATAGAGGTTAAAATTAGCCTAGATAAAGAGGTGATTTTTACTAAAAAGGTAATTAGATCTTGGTTATAGAGGTTTCTCACTTACCCAGGGATCGCTTTCATTGTTTCATTTTTAAATCAATACTGAATTTCACAACCTTTACTTATTTTACAATTATAGGATGTTCTGCTAGAGTTCCACATGAAACAATTATTAAGTGATGTTGTATATGATGCAAATATAATTCGACAATGGATTGAAACCGACGTTTCATTGCAAGATTTTATTGATATTGAAGTAGCGGAAGTTTATGATCCAAGCAAATTTTGGATACATCTTCGACAACATTCAGATAATCTTAATCGGCTTATGGATAATATGCAGTAATTTACTAAATTAGTAAAAATTACGTTTTTATTATATCTTCGTTTTTTAGGATATTTTATCGCGCTAATAAAGATAAATATTACATTCCATATTACGCGATACGTGAAGGGATGTACCTCGCGAGCATCTTTGATGGGGAATATCATCGCGCTAAAGTTGTTGATTGCTCAAAGAAAATGGATGGTGACATAAAAGTGTTTTACGTTGATTATGGGACGATTGCTGTTGTTCGAGTTAAAACTGTTTGTTATTTGACTGTGGATTTTGTTAATTTCCCCGCACAAGCGATTAGGGCTAGATTATATGGGATACAACCCACTGTTAAGGATGAATTGTGGCCTCAACAAGCGTCCAGCAGGTTTTTGCAGTTAGTTCGCCACAAAAGTTTAGTTGCACAGATTTACGACATAGACGAAAATGTAATTAATCATTTCTTTTTCTTTTTATTTAATAATATTAATTTTTTAGGATATGATTCTTGATTTAATTGTCGTGGATACATCAACGCCTGGCCGTGACCTTTTCATAAATGACCTCTTAATCCAGGAACAATTAGCAACATTTTTCAATGAGGTCAGTAAGTCTTCCACTCCTTCAAATACTCCAGAAATCGATCAAAAAGCTCCTGTATCAAACGACGTTATTATAAATCTTGAAAAAAAACTCAAAAAGTTTTTAAATTTAAAATCTTAATTTGATTAAATTTTTAATTAATACTTTAACTTGTATACCATGCTTGTAAATTCAACGAAAATAGAAAGGCTATTTTTATCAGGAGCTTTTCGTTCATTAAAATTCTAGGAACCCAACGAAAAATCATCGAACGATTGCACACCAACTGTACCCAATGTTTATTTATATCCGACGCATGAAGAATTCGAAACGGGTACAACTTTAACTTATACTGCCATGTTACACCTTCAGGCATGCAATTTTAGTTATGACAGAATATTTCCGAAGTATTTTAAGAAGATTGAGAATGTTGAATCTAAAACTGAAGATAGCAATTCAAGTGATGACGAAATTATTAATGGGAATAATTTAGAAATTGTTGAAAAGGATTCAGAAAGTGTTAAAAATGATTCAGAAAATAATACAGAAATTATTGAAAATGAATTAATTGCCCCATCAATTGGAAGTGTTCCTGAACATTTCATTAGTACTTTGGAAAATAGAAATTCGTTAAGACCACCACCTGGTTTTCGCAATTTGCCTCAAAATAGCTTTGGTGTTGATCCTAACCTAACTTATTTAATGTTTCTTTCCACTATGCATGCTTGTAAGATGATGAATTCGACATATAATTATTATTATCCCTATCAACCTGAAATACCTCATCAACCTTTTTATCACAATTATATTCCACCACATCTAAATCAACCACCAATGATGATGCCACCTTTAAATTATTATAATCCACCATACCCTATTGATCATATGAATTCACAACAACCTCAACATTTTAACTTTTATCCACCAAATTATCAACAGTATCACAACGTTGTTAATTATAATTGTTCACCAAATATTAAATCTGAAAATTCGTCTCATTTATGTGAATCTGTTATAAATCGACCAAAAGAAAATGTCAATATAAGAAAGTTCGAATACAAAAATGATGAAATTAAGATAACACCTGAAATAGGAGGTGAAAGAGATAGAAGTGAAAATTCTGAGATTAGATATGATAAAATAGATAATTTGGTTGAAAAAGAACCTGAAAAGAATGTAAATCTTAATATGATACCTGAAATAGGAGGTGAAAGAGATAGAAGTGAAAATTCTGAGTTTGGGTATGATAAGATAGATAATTTGGTTGAAAAAGAACCTGAAAAGAATGTAAATCTTAATATGATACCTGAAATAGGAGGTGAAAGGGATAGAAGTGAAAATCCTCAGTCACCTGAAAAGAATTTAAATCTTAATAAAAACAAAAAAAGCAAAGAGGCTGTAAATTCTTTTAATTCATCAGAATTGAAAGTTAAAGATTCAAATGAAAGTAAAACACCAAAAGAAGTTGAAGAAAATAAAACTTCTAAAAATTTAGATCTTGAAGCTTCAAATAATGTAGTTGTCCAAACCATAAAGGTCGAAGAAAACGAAAAAAATTTGATTGAAAATTCTTGTGTAGAACAAATTACAAATTCTTTCAAATCAATGGAATCCAATCTTAAAGATGTGAATCAACAAAACGAGAATAAACGAAATTTAAACGATGAGGATGATAATGAAAAAAATTTGACAGAAATGATTCCAGAAAAGAATTCAACAGAATCTAATTTTGATGATTTAAATCAAAACACCATAACGAAATCATCCAATAATGAAATTGACGAAAAGATGATTGAAAGTCCCATTAAGAGTTTAAATATTTTAAATGCAACTAATGATGAATATCAATCAGCATTAGAAAATGAAATAAAAATTACTTTTCATGGTAAGTATTTATTTAAGAATTAAAAAATGCTTTTTAAAAAACCTAATTTTTGATTAGATTTTGGATCGGCATCTTTACACATCGTCACTGATAGCGATGATAAATATTTGATACTTCAAGAATTTCGAAAAGAACTTTTAAATTCGTTTCCTCTTGAAATAGTTCGGCGCGCGATCGCGACTGCTCCCGTTTTAATTAATATAGACAATATTTTGTTGGATGAAATCCCCTCTGATTTAAAAGCTGATATGTTAACCAATAACATAATTACAAGCAGCTGTAATAAAATCGATATTTTTCCTGTTAATCAAATAAGAGAGGTGTTTAGGGCTATATATGGAAACGTTTCGATAAAGCCAGAACATGATATTTTTCTTAAAGAAATTGACTGTTATTTTACAAATAACAATGATGGATCTGATTAAATTGGTTTCAATATTAAATACTTTAATAAGAATCTTTAATTTAGTTTTAAGTTGTATTAAAACAAATTGTTAAAACAAAATATTCTTTTGTGTTTGTGTTACCAATTTGAGTAAGGCTATAAGTATTCTTTTAATCGTTAAATGTTTGTTATGAATGAGTTTTTATTTTTTTTTATAGGTTTTACTTTAGTTTCCCGTTAATATGCGGTAGGCACTTTTTTTATTTGCATTGTGATTCTTTTTATATTAAATTAAAAATGAAAATAAAAGAATTTTTTATTAAATTTTGTTGACCCAAAGCAGGTAAGTATATTTGCTAATTATGAAACTATTCCGGAAATTCTTCAGACGCGCAGCTAATCTCGAATATTTCTAGTTTTAGGTCTAGTGTTAGTTTTAGTTTAATAAAAATATACAACAATGTATCGCTAATAAGAACTAAAACTACAGCTGAGTTGAAAAAGATAGTATTAATCCCAATCTATAAAAAAGGAGGCAAGTCCTGCTATGATAACTATCGTCCAATAACACTCATATCGAATCTTGCAAAAATTTATTAGAAGAAGGGAAGATCCGAACTTGCGATGTTTCAACTGTTGGAAAATATTACCTTGGGATTAAATGAAAAACAGACCACAACAACATTGTTCATAGATCTTACAAAAGCCTTTGATAGTATACGTTAGTGTTTTTCAACCTTTTTCATGACACGACCCCCCTAGTAACAAAAAATATTTCGCGACCCCCCGACCCTTTTTTTCATGTATGTTAAAAATATTTAATCCATACAAAAATTTACGACAATAGTTGTCGTTATTTATGACGACAATTATTTGAAATTTGGGTTTACTGTGATTGAGAATAAACCGCAGTATGTAATTTGCTTTGAAATTTTGTCAAGAGAAAGCATGAAACCATCGAAGTTGGTACGCCACCTAAACACAAAACATCCTAATGAAAAAATAAACCCGTGGAATTTTTTGAGCGAAAACTAAAAGGTCTTGAACATCAAAAAACTGCTATAGGACAAATGTCCAACCTAAATGAGAAAGCGTTGCTCGCTAGTTATCGAGTAGCTTTTCGTGTGGCTAAAGCAGGAAAACCTCACAGTATTGCCGAAAATTTGATTTTGCCAGCGGCTTTAGATATAGCAGAAATTATGTTTGGCAAACAAGAGGTCGAAAAGCTCAAAAGTATACCTCTCTCTGGCAATACTATTCAACGCAGGATAAGCAATATGGCGACTGACGTTCGTGATCAAGTCATAGAAAAAATAAAGAAAAGTTCTTTTGTGTCCTTACAATTTGATGAATCAACTGATATTGCGGGTTGTGCGCAGTGAGTAGCTTTGTGCGTTTTGAATCCAATGAAATATTGATGGAAGAAATACTATTTTGCAAGGCACTTCCCAAAAATGCTACAGGTCAGTTCTTGCATGACATGTTCGTTGAAGCTAGGCCAGATATGAATATCGATTGGGCACAACAATGCATTGCTATTTGTAGTGACAGAGCAAAAGCCATGACTGGTGCGAAGAGTGGATTTATTGCTAGACTGAAAGAACAAATGCCAAACGCTTGTTGGATGCACTGCTTTCTCCATCGCCAAGCTCTTGCAGCCAAAACCTTGCCACAAGAATACAGTCAAGTTCTAAATATTATTATTAACATTGTAAATTCTATCAAAGGAAAAGCGTTGCAGACTCGATTGTTTCGAATCATTTGTGAAGATATGGGGGCACTACACCGCAATTTGCTTTACCACACAGAGTTTAGGTGGTTATCAAAAGGCAAAGTACTGACCAGGGTTTTGGAACTTCGCGCTGAACTATTAGTATATTTACAACAAGCCAAGTCACATTACTCTGAATTCATTTCTGACCCTGAATTCCTTTTGAAATTGGCTTTTCTTTCCGACTTATTTGAGCATTTAAACAACTTGAATAAAAGTCTTCAAGGGCGGGATGAAAATGTCATTACAGCAAAAGACAAACTCCATGGCTTTATAAAAAAAATTGAATTGTGGTCATCATCTATAAATCAAAACAACTTTGATTCATTTTCGTCGACACAGTCTTTCATTGAAGAAGTCGGAAGCGAGATAAACATTAACTCATATATATCTGGTATGAAAATGGTGTTAGATAATTTGAAGAAAGAGTTGTGTCATTACTTCTCAGTGCAAGAGATATCGATTAACACTGGGCAAAGATGCATCTTAAATCCGTTTTTAAATGCAGCTATAAATGAAGCAAATTTAGCAACTAAGCTCAAAGAGAATCTGCTGGAATTATCTGCCGATGGGATGTTACACTTGAAATTCAAGTCTGAAAATTTGGATACCTTTTGGTTAAAAAGAAAAACAGAATACCCGGAATTAACAACCGAGGCTTTGAAGTGTTTGATTCCATTTTCTACCTCGTACTTGTGCGAGTTGTCATTTTCATCAATGGCCCAAATAAAAAGTAAACTAAGAAATCGCTTAAATTTGGAAAACGATTTAATACTTAAAATTGCAAAAACGGATTCACGATGGGAGAAATTGATTGAACAAACTCAAGCGCAACCTTCACATTAAAATGAACGAGTACTCGAAGATTTTATTTTTTGTTAATGTGTTTGTATAAACAACAATATTCAATCCTTTTGACCAAGTTGGAGAGACTTGGCTTTAGAGGTGTTAACTTCTCATGAATGAAATCTTATCTATCAGAGAGGTTACAATGTGTAGTTGCTAACAGGGAACAGAAATAAGAGCAGCTTGGAGGGAAGTCAAGCTGGGAGTACCTCAGGGTTCCATATTGGGTCCTCTATTGTTCCTCCTATATGGAATGACTTACCACGTACAACATTCCGATAATGTTTGCGGATGACACAACGACCGTGGCGAGGTGTAGCACTGATTATGAAATCCGAAAATCAGTTACTATGGATCTGAATAAACTTGCGGATTGGTTTGAAGCGAACAACATAAAATTAAGTACAAAAAAAAACGAAAATTGTTAACTATCACTTATGCTCTGACCAAATCAAGGCTTCAGTGTTGAAGAGATTTCGTTTGTGGGTTGGAAAATGGATCCTGGACTGTCTTAGACCAATTATATTGATTCCCTAGGTGGCAAGATCAGTCATTTCTCATATGTTATTCGGATTATTTCCAGATCAGCTGGTATTGAAGCAGCATTAAATGCCTATTATGCATATGTTCATTCCTTGCTAAAGTTGTTTTTTGAGGCCGTGGTATTGGTATAGATAGAATCTTCATACTACAGAAGAACTATGTAAGAGCAATCTTTGGTCTAAAAAATACTGATAGCTGTAGAAGTTACTTAAAAGACTATATAAAATACCTACCTTGTATGGAATTTATATTCTGGAATGTGCCGTATTGGTTAGCAAGAATTACTTATTATTATTATTAACACTAGCTCTAGAACTAACATTACATCTAGAACTAGAAACATTCGGGTTTAGCCGTCTTAAGAGACGAACTAGAAAGTTTCGACGTGCGTCTCTAGTGTTAGTTCTAGTTTTACTCTAGCACTGTACTCTAGCCGTCTTTAGAGACGTGCGGCTAAACCCAAATGATTCTAGTTCTAGGTATAGTGTTAGTTCTAGTTTTACACTAGCACTGTTACTATGTAGAGTGTATCTTCAGAGACGTGCGGCTAAACCCAAATGATTCTAGTTCTAGGTATAGTGTTAGTTCTAGTTTTACACTTGCACTGTCACTAGAACTATGATTCCGTGATTCAAAATGCCGGGATCCCGGACGATTTATGAGCGGAGATTCTAAAAATTAATAAGGCAACTAAAGGTACGTATTTTATACCATCGAACAGATATGTCACAGATACTTCAAAAGGGAACGCAAGTTGACAAAGATATATTTTCTCAACGCTTGTCTAAAACTGCAATTTTAAAAGATATTACAAGAGTTTGACGATGGTATATGTTCAAATTTAACTGAAAAGAGGCTTCCTCAAAAACAACATCTCATAATGAAACTATAATAAGTTAGGATTCGTTCAGTTCGCGATGTCCATGTGAGATATTTTGCAAAGACGATTGCAGGCAGCTTTAGATGAAGCACTAACACCAATAACAACTGTACCTACGAATAAAAAATAAGAGAAGAAATGACGATTTTTGAAAAAACTGGTACCAATGGAACAGATTTGAAAACGATGGATCAATTGTACCAACAAGCGTGGAATCAGAAAGGTCTTTTTCTGTGGTCGATCAAATTTCGATCTTCCCTGAATGACGAAACTACCGCTGCTCTGTGTTTCTTACAGTGATGGGCGCTGGGTATACAGTGTGTCCCCGGATAGGTGAAACGACTCTTATAAAATGTAAATTTTTTTCGATATTAACTGTCATCTTTTGGGGTTCAGGCCTGCTTGATTAAAGACTAATTTTGAACATATTTTCAAATTTTAAAAAACAAGTGAGTGTTGATACTGAAGCTAAAACTTCTTGTGTGTCAGGTAAAGTACCTTTTCTGTTTACAGTATGGTAAAATGTTACTAAGAAATTTTATTCAGAATGAAAAGTTATGGCCATATGCAAATTTTCATCAGCCTACTTTGATAAAACCTATTGTTTATTATTTTCGTCAATAGTACCTTATTACGACTTTTTGTTTTGAGATTCAGATTATTAGGGAGAAATAAACAAACCGTTCTGAAAATGTTCACAAGAAATTAAGTGTGTGTTCGCCCACAAAGGAAAACAGTTGATCATAGTTAATCAGTTTCATCATAATTTTTTTTTCTTAGAGTGAATACTTCCTGCTGTAAGAAATCTTTTGATTAAACGCCAACAAGTACTTCTTTTAATTGCAGTATTTGGAAATTTTTCACAAAATAAAGCAATAATCGGTTTTTTCCCGGTTCCATAACACTGAATCACGTAAACTTTTTCCTGTAATGTTAACATTCTGTTTAAAAAACACTTTAAGTTTACTAAATTACAGTTTGAGAGATTAACAGTGACAGGAAAGCAATTTTGTTTTTCCATGGCAGTCTTTGTTAGAAATAAAATTGTTTGATATGGATTTTTTCAAAGTAGGCCGATCAATCCGAAAATTTGCATATGCCCATAGTTTTTCATTCTGAACAAAACTTCTTAGTAACACTTTCACGTACTGTAAACAGAAAAGGTACTTTACCTGCCACAAAAAGAGTTTTTCTTTCACTGTCAAGGCTCACTTGTTTTTTAATAATTGATAATATGTTCAAAATTAGTCGTTAATCAAGCAGGGCTAAACCCCAAAAGATGACAATTAATATCGAAAAAATTTTATCTTTTATAAGAGTCGTTTCACCTATCCGGGGACACACTGTATACCCGGCGGGTAGGTATTTATAAAATGGGTATTTACCCCGACCCAGAGTAATGCTCAGTTCCACTTGAGTTTTGTCACAATGTTTATTTATTTACGCCAGTTCTTCTTCGTGGTCTTCATTTCGTATGTGGTCCCTCTGGGTTACACCCAGCATCGACCTCTCCATCTTTGTTTGCGTTACTTTGAGCCTCCTGGCAGTGGCCACCGTTAATGTTCAAGCTTTGGAGTCGTATGTCATAACCGGAAGTACGCTCTTGAAGATGTCTCTAAGTTTCCCGTAGGCTGCTTATGCGAGTGTGATTCTTCTGCTTAGTTTGCTTGTTTGATTATCTCTCGATACGCGACTCATGGCCAAGATATACATAGCTGTCAAACCTCTCAATCTCATTATCCCCAATGTTGATGTTGTGTTGGGAACAAGATTTGTCATAAATTTTGATTTCTCCACGTTGATATTTAACCCGACTCTTGCACACATCTCCTGTAAGTCGTTCAGCATGGGTTTTATCTCTCCAAGGCTATCCAAAATAAGGACTATATCATCCGCGTAGCGCAAATTACTTAAGTATTTGCCATTGATGTTTACGCCTTTTTGGGTCCAATCTAGTTGTTTAAATGCACTCTCCAGGACTGTAATGAACAATTTGGGTTCAATATTGTATCGCCTTGTCTTACCTCACGCCCAATGGGTATTCAGTCAGTATTTTCATGCAATTTTACCGTCATAGTATTAGCATTCTTGTAGATGTTATAAATAAGTTTGGTGTATCGATAATCGACTTTACTAATTACTAAAGAAAACTTCACGCTATAATTAATGTTTGTAAACAAAACTAACCTGACGTAACATTCCTTCACGGTTTAATTGGCATTTCAAAAGAAAAATTCACGCTATGATTGGCATTACTAATTACTAAAGAAAACTTCACGCTATAATTAATGTTTGTAAACAGAACTAACCTTACGTAACATTCCTTAAGGAATTTGAGCAGGGAAGAAAGACAAAATATGTGGCTGTAAAATGTTGGGAGTCCAGTACATTTTTCACATATTGCACGTGAAGCTTTAGATCGGGATTATGCTGGGCGACGGATTGGAAGAGGAGGTCCAATTTCCTGGTCTGCCAGATCACCTGATTTAACACCTCTTGATTTTGTTTGTGGGGCGTCGTTAAGGATAATGTTTATCGTGAAGAACCGACTACGCCAGAAAACATGAAAAAGCGGATAAGAAATGCATGCAGAAATAGTATCCAAGAAAACCTTTTAAGATGTAAAGAAAGTTTTAGTAGAAGGGTTAATAAATATATTGAAGTGGGTGGGGAAATATTTGAACATTTATTATAAATTTTATACTTGTTGATTAATAGTATAGTTTAATCATTTTTTTATAAATAAACAATATTTAAAACTATTTGAATAAAAAAATTATTTAGATTTTGTCTCACGTTAAATGGACCAACCTGTATGTATGTATATGTAGTTTTGTACTTTTATGTAAGTTATTCAAATTTTAGTAAAATTTCTTAATCTTGAACAATCATAAAAAAATTCTCATCTCAAATTAAATTATTATATTAAATTATTCTACAAGTAAGAATACCTATTTATTTTTTAAAAATCTTATTGCTATAAGTGAGACCACATGTTGTAATATTCTTTTTATCAAGAAAAAAGTGTAGTACATCTTTTGTGGTTTTTCTTTATAAAAAGAATTTTACAACTAAGATAACCTACATCCTATAACCTACTCTTGTAACTAATTGTAAGATAAAAAAAATGTTAAATAGGTGTTCTTTACTTGTAGTCTGAAGAAGCTGGGGATCTCTGCGGAAACATCACAAATATATGTGTTTTAATTGAAACAATCTCGTTTGAGAAGAAAAATTTCTTTAGGTTATTCAAACATAAACAGAGATAAAAAAATCAAAAATACCACTAATATGGCTTAAATTTAACTTTATATTTAAATGACCTACATAAATTATTAGAATGTTTATGTTTAATTTGTTTACAAATAAGAATTTTATTTTAGTTAACAAGAAACATTTCATGTTTCAATAATATGTATCAGAAATGTTTCTGAAACGCAAATTTGTTTACTGGGGTGTGTATGTGGGTAGTGAGACGCCACTAGGACGGGTGAGACAAGCAAAAAGGAACTGGGCATCATGCTTATCACGACGGGTCGGACTCATAGACTTTAGAAAGAATACTGAGGTTTAATTGGAATGTGTTATATTTATATTATTAAAACAGACGAGAGTGATTAAATCGGGGAAAGATATTGAATAGAGACCAAATTGAAATTCTTTACAACCTTTAATTAATTTTAATTTTACATCTGCATAGATTTATTTTATTTTTTGTTCCATTGTTATTCATTATAACATATATGTTACATATTCTTATTATATTAGAAATAAATGTTTATTTACCACTATTTTTTTATTGTTTCAATTTGGACTTGTATCATGATTTTAAAATAATAGGAATACCAAAAATTGGTATTAAGATTTTGGTAGGGTATTGAAAGCACTATTGCCAAACAATTAATCAAAAATAATAAATACCATTGCATAAGAAATCTACATGTTAACACAAAACTGATGTAATCTATTAAAAAAAATTTATTGCTTTATTATAGTTTATTTGTATTTTAATAATACACATATAGAAAACAACTACAAACAATTATTAATAATTAGAAATATTCTACTACAATAAACAATGCTTACTATATTTATTTAATATGTACAGTAACAAAAAAAACTGATGTATGTATTACAAAAAGAAAAATCTTCGAATAATTAATAAGGTAATTGTTGAAATAATTGCCCATACAACAGCAGACCACATTCTATCTCTGCAAAAAAAATTGAGTTAATAATTAATTAATATAAAAAATTTAAATCTAATTTACCTATTAGATCTTTGAATGGAAGCTTGAAGCAAAACATCTGGTAAACTTTCTTGAACGACTTCAAGAGAACCAGGTTGGTTTAATGTACCACTTCCTCTTTGTCTAAGTCCATCAACACCATTTTGTAATTCTAAATCATTATTATCCTTTTCTGTCTTTACCGGTCGATTACTTTCCTCTTCACCTTTTAACGCGATTTGTTTAAGTAAGGTCGATTCTTCTGTGGATAACAATGTTCTCCCTACAGATTTACCAGTTACAAGTTTATCTTGTATACGCCCACAAATATGGCATTCCCAATTCTGCGATTTTTTTGCCAACACCTTACGTTCTTCAGCAGTGTAATCTAAGGAACCTACAGTACCAGCTGCAGGAGTTGGCATAAATGCAATTAAAGCTAATAAAGCTGTACGTATAGACCAGGATGGTTGCCAACTTTCTGGGTGATAACCAGATATTGACAAACAAATTTTCTTGTTAGTTTCAAATCGACCATTTGGCTACAAATTAAATTGAATTAATTTATTGTTGAGATTATATTTTAAGATTACTGTTAATAAAATTATATTTGGTGGTTGCATTGGGTATTGGGTGGGTAATAAAATTCTTCCGTGGTATAAACCACCATCGAATTCAGTACTTGGTGGTCCCCTGACTGTAAAATGCCATTCAAAAAGGTTGTCTTCTAATGGACAAGCGTGGTATTCTTCTGTTGCTTCAGCTAATTCCATTGCCTCTCGCATAAGGCGTTTAACACCTAAATTATTGTTGAAATAAGTTATTTTGAAATATGTTAATGATAAAAATTAATGCAGTAATTGCTAAGTTTACTTACCCGGACTTTTTAAGTTATATTTGGTTTGTAATGAATCCATAATACTTTTCCTGTTAATATTTACGAAGAAAACTTGAATTTTGGATTACAAAAGGAACGAAAATCGTTTCTTTTTATTATTCAACTGACGTGTCGTTCGCAATGAATATAACTACCCAAAGTGAAGTACTTTACAATAAACAAACAAGACACGCACTTGACAGTTAATTGTTGTAAATTTTGACATTTCAAGGTTAAAAAAGTTTTTGTAAACACTAAATTAATTCTTTTAAATTTTTCGAAAAAAAATCATTATATGCATGGTAATTACACAAAATCACCAAAAATAGGTTTTATTTTATTATCAACAAATAAATTTATTTTAATTATGTAATATAAATGTAAGAAAAAGTCTATTAGAAAAAGATGCACTATTTATTCAACCAATCAAAACAATCCACACTACCATTTTTAAAGCACCATCTAACACAACATTGTAAAATCATTGATTGACATTTGACGTTTCAAACTGTTAAAAGATGATTTGAGGTTATGTGAAACGTGATTATTTTAAATTTTCAATAATAATGGACGAAAAGCCGCTAATATGTATCCCAGGACACCGATTATGCCTATTAGATAAAACCCACGTGAACGGTAACGGTACGTACGAAAGACACGGTTACATATATTCGAATTTAACCGGAGTAGTAAAAATAATTACAAAAAACGGGGTAAATATCGTAGAAGTACACAGTATTGGAGAACAAACATTAATTCCTACTCAAGGAGACGTCGTAACGGCCCAAATAAACATTGTAACACAACAGTTTTGTAAATGTTTAATAAAGTGTATCGGTGAGGTGGTTTTAAATCGGCCGTATCGCGGTATTTTGCGAAAAGAGGACGTTAGAGCAACCGAAAAGGATCGGATTGAGATGTATAAATGTTTTCGACCGGGCGATATTATTTTAGCACGGGTTTTACCGATCACCGAAAGTCATACTTATCAATTATCAACAGCGGAGAATGAATTAGGTGTTGTTATTGCTCATTCGGAAGCTGGACATTCCATGGTTCCAATTTCTTGGACTGAGATGCAATGCCCTAAAACGTTAATTAAACAATCGCGTAAAGTTGCTAAAATTGTCCCAGAAAATTATAATCCAAATAATAATGATTAATAGATAATAACAAATTAATTAATTAATAATTACTGAATTATATTATTAAGTTAGATGGAGATTTTTATTAATTGAATAAAGATTGTATCTAAAAATCTTGAAAACTATTTTTATATTATATTAATTCCTTAAAAGTTCATTATCAGGAAGGTTTTCATTTTTATTGATTTCCTTTTATTGCACCATATTTATTATTATTCGAGATAATTGATTGGAATTGTTTTGATGTCCTCGAAATATTTTAAAATGATATCAATAAAAAAATGTATAACAGGTGATTGATTATTTTTGTTACTTATTGAGTTGATTTTTAATAAAGTAAGATTATCTGATTAATTTTTAGGATTATTTCTAAGTAACTCGAATCGCTAAGGGAGCGGAAAAATACTTCGAGTTAAAGAAAAATTAGTTGAATTTCAGCTCTAAAGAAAAGAATTAGAAATGTACTTTTCTAATACGTATATTTAACCTTTCAAATACTTCAATAAAAATATACAACAATCTACTACTCAATAACACTAGACCTAGAACTAGAATGTTTCGGGTTCTTCGATAAGACAATTCCATTCTTTACTTTCATTAGTTTATAGCATGTTTTTACAGTAAATTTGTACTTTGTAAAAATCGTATTCAAAAATAAATAGTTACCCAAAATGTCAAAATTTCATAGGGACTTTAGGTAATACCAACAGAAACCCTAAAAATTTTAACTTTGAATTATGTTAGAGAATTAACCTCTAATATTGTTTTGCAATAAATAACAGTGAAATTCCCCTAATTCGAACTTCTATATGTCGAATTTTCCAAAGAATAAATTACAGCAAAGACGAGCACTCACTCTATAAAGAGGTTTTAGGTCCTGTCAAATGTCCTATCCCAACAATGTTAAAAATCTCGGTTATACATTTTTGCATGTTTTATATTGCCTATAACGAGCGGATGAAGTCGTGGATTCAAAAAAATATTAAAATATAAAGCGCAATATTAACGGTTATAATTTTATTATTGTTAGGTTATCCAACTTGACTCGGTTACCATGGTGATTAAGATCCAAATATTGCAGGTGCTTGTCAAAATTGAAATTAAATTTAAGTTTTTTTAAGGAAAAAATCTTATTTAATTGGTTTAAAAGGCTGTATTTAACTCAAAATTGGTTTATCTAGGGTATTATAAACCAGGTAAGTGGATTAAATAAAAAAAAAATATTTTTAATAATTAAAATAATAAAAATTAGGTTAGAATTGATAAAAAAATCGGAATAAAATTTTATTATTTAAGGTTATCCAACTTGACTCGGTTACCATGGTGATTAAGATCCAAATATTGCAGTTGCTTGTCAAAATTGACGTTGAATTTAAGTTTTTTTAATGAAAAACACATAATTAATTGGATTTAAAGGTTGTATTTCATTTAAAATGGGTAAATGGATGAAATTATAAGCAAGGTAAGTGGATTAAATCAAAAAAAAATATTTTTTTTAGATCAATTAAAATGTACAAGAATTTAGGGTTAAATAACAATTAAAACTAGAACTAACACTAGACCTAGAACTAGAAACAGTCGGGTTTAGTCGTGAAAAAAACTTTCCGTTGTCAATGTCAACTTTAATTTTATTATTATATTCGTAATCTTTTATCTCAAAAAACCAAAAAGTTCGAATCATCACTTCCGGTTTGAAACGTCAACGTCAATTTTGACATATTTGTCATCTTCATTAAAAAACCTTTAAAATGAGTGCAAAGATGACGCACTTATTTCAAAAAACAAAAAAGTTAGTATAAAAAACGTTAAACCCGAAGTTAGCAACAATGAAGATAGCAATTTAATTTTTAAATATTAATACCAACCTTAATTTTTTATTTTTTTTATTATATTTTTGTTTTTGTGACAAATATTAAGACATTTTATAAAAATTAAGAATATGTCAAAATGACATTGACATTTCAAATCGGAAGTCGCTTATATCTCGAATAATATTGGAATTAAACTTCATTAATATTGAAGATAAATATGTCGTGTTTATACACATTTTAAAGGATTTTGAATGAATATTACAAATATAATAACAATAATAAACAAGTTTATTGTTCACAAAAATCAGCATACATATTCGTGAAGTATAAAAAAAATAAAAATTACATATTGTATAAATTTATGAACAAAAGGTGATGTTCGATAATTCCTATCGTTCTTCCACAAATATGTCAAAATTGAGGTTGACATTTTAAATCTGAAGTTAGTTATCATATAATAGACAAATGGACATCTTCATGATGTATTATTTATTAAAAAAACCTTTAAAATCAGTCCAAACATGACGCACTTATCTCAAAAAACAAAGTTTGAATAAAAAAATGTAAAACCCGAAGTTAGCAACAATGAAGATAGCAATTTAATTATTAAATATTAATACCAACCTTAATTTTTATTTTCCTTTAATTTTATTTTTGTTTTTGTGATAAATTTTAAGACATTTTATAAAAATTAAGAATTTGTCAAAATTGACATTTCAAACTGGAAGTTGCTTATATCTCGACTAATATTGGAATTAAACGTATCATGTTTCGACTCATTTTAAAGGATTTTTCACGACAATTACAAATGTGTCAAAATTGACTTTGACATTTCTAACTGAAAGTTGACCATAACTTCATTAATATTTTAGGTAAATATGTCGTGTTTGTACTCATTTTAAAGGATTTTTGATGAAGATTACAAATATGTTAAAATTGAGGTTGACATTTTAAATCTGAAGACGCACGGCTAAACCCGAAACTTTCTAGTTCTAGGTCTAGTGTTAGTTCTAGTTTTAATTGTTACTAAGTGTTAAATTGTTTATTTTTACTGAAATAGAACTAACATTAGACCTAGAACTAGAATCTAAATCTAAAGACGGCTTTCTGTAACTTGTCAAATTATTGTAAAGTTGGTTACAATTTATTAGCAAACTTCGATTTTACATTTATACAGAAATAACCATATCCCGATTATTATTATTTCACAAACTGTTTATTAATTTAAATATTATAAATGTCAATTATAAAATAACAAACATCTTAGAATCTTGGTTTACAAACTATCCATATTAATAACGTATATTTCTTGTTGTATTAGCCCCAAAACGTCGGAATATTTTTCCGCTTTTACATCACCAAGTTCAAGATCATTCGCTTTCTCCAAAAAATAAATAAGAAAATTATTATCTATACAATCGCCGAGATCATTTTGATCCAATAAATCCATATTTTTATGTGATGGAATAATCCCTTGCATAACATGTTTCGTGATGTTCTTTTTAACACCGAGTAAACTCCCGATATTTTCCATCAAATCAACGAACTTGGTGGGAAAGTTAATCGTAAAATTCGTTTCCATAAAAAAACATTTCTTCTTCGACATATCGATAATAATCGTAATATTCTTATCAAAATCATGAATGTATTTAACATTGCGATCAATGTGGTATTTCCCAGAGTTAGTGGATGAGTTTTTATTTAACATTATATTTTTCATATTTTTAACGTTACGTAACGCACAAATTAATCGATCTTCGTTGTGGCCGTGTTGATAAAGATATAAACTGATCGATCTGCCAATTACCATTAAAGCAATCGTTATTAATATTATACCAACGGCTAAATAAGCCGCGGTTTTTTGGTTCTTTTTGAACGTCTTCGTTCGAACGTTGCTTTCAACGTCTTCTGGAGATGGCGTTAAAACGGGAAGTTGATATGATTTCATTTTTAATCTACTATAATTTAATGATTTTTGATAAATATTGATGTCATAAATTGGCATTTATAAAAAAAAACAAATTGAGGTCATGAAAAGTATTAGTAATCCATGTAATTATTAAAATATTTTAATCAAAAATTTAATAACGAAAATGTTATCGACATATTTCTTGATAACGATGTTTAGTTTAGATAAAAATTTTATAAATGCAAATACTTTATGGGTTGTGGGAATTGGAACATAAATTCAATAAAAAAATTTTTTTTATTTATTTCGATTAATGTACAAAAACTTTTGGGAATGTGCGTATTTTATTTTCGATGATTGTAGTGAGGAAGTGATTCCAACGCTTTTCCCATTCGGCGAAAGCAGCGTTTTTATCAGAAATCGAGCTGTACTCAATAGAATTAAGAGCGATTTGTTTTAAAAATCTTAAATCCGCGTTTCTACTCGTCATCCCCATAAATGCCATGTACCAATCGTGACTTAAAGCTTTCGCACCCCAAAAGCTTGGATCATCGTTGGTTATAACAACCGGATAATCATTCGCAATCAAATAATTTCCGGGGTGATTTCTTAGATCGCTAATCAACATCAAAACTTGATTAGATATGGGGGATATTTCTAAAGCTATCCCGTCCCGTTTAACTTTATCGGCGACATCGGGGTGTTTCAAAACAGCATAACCATGTCCGATTCGTTTCGTCCCCAAAAGCACCGCATCAACAAGATTTAAATCAGTACTACTTCCATACCAATTAGTTTCCCCGGCGTGAAAATAAAATGACATATCCTTGTTTAATAATTGATTTATAAACTCGATTAGGGGGTTCCCTAAATCTTCTTGCCCAACCAAATCAAACCCGGCTAAAAATGTCGGATATTTCTCAGCTAATTCGTTAGCTATATCGATATAATTATTCATAGTGTCGTTATCGACTTTTCGTACTGGAGCATAAATAAGCTTAGCCCCAATAAAATCGGGATGGGACTCCATAAATGCGTCTAAAGTTTGCTTATAAATCCCGGCTACTTCAACGGAGCCGTAAATGTTACCATCTAAATCATAAACTTCGGGTAAAGTACTCCTAAATTCCAAGTACATAACGTTATCGTTGTATAATTCTTGAAGAACTTGGTAAAAATATTCTTCAAAAACAGGTTTGTAACAAACTAAGGGATCGATCAACATAAAAATGTCCATAAAAAGACTCCAAACCGTGTTTATATCCGTGTGTTTCGTGCGAAAATCTGGCGTGATTAACGTAAGTTGTGATTTTAAATCTTCATCGAAATTCGGGTCGGATTCTCTCATCGAAGCAATCGGTTTCCAATCGCAAGTTGAATCAGTAACGGGTTCTTTGAAGAATTTTAAATTAATATTCGCACCAACATAACACGCAAATAAATCCGGCTTATAAGTTAATTGATACAAAAAATCCCCAGAAACTAACGCGGTGTCATGTCCGTGTAACATAGAGCCTTTAGGTAATTTTTGAATGAATTGAAATACATCGGATTTTTCAATACGATCTAACGTCTCAAATATATGATTAGCGGGTATAAAAGATTTCGGATTCTCAAATCCTTCATCAAATTCTTTCCATTTATATTCCATTAAAATCCCGTTGACGATTTTTTCAATTTCATTCAGCTCAATTTTATTACCAACCATTCTGCTTTCTTCTTGTTTAATAAATTCGTCCCTCTTGGCCCAATAATCGTCGACGTCCGCACCGGCGACAAAGAATATCGTTACGGTTAAACCAATTAAAACGGTGATCATCACACCTTGATAACACTTCGACCACATCTTTTGATTCTTTGCTAACATCGATCGATCAACGGATCGCAAAGGACTGAAACGTGCGACAATGCGAACATATATAAAAAATGCATCGTCGCCGAGTCTTCACAATTTCATTCGTTTTACAAGTGCGCACGAGTAACGCACTGATAACAAGTTTTTCGAACGTGCCGTAAATAAAAGTGATCAAAAACATGTGCAATAAATAATCAATTGTGTTTTGGAAAATTTTTAAAAACATCTTTATATCGATGTAATTGTTCAATTGTAAATTTCTAGTGGATAAATATAATCCTCATATATTTTTCTCTTATAATAAAAATTATGTATTTTTATTTTCAATAATTTAGAATTTAATGACTCATTATTTGAGAAGCGTATCAATTTAGATTTGAATTTGAAGGATTATTTATTTCGATTCGAGTAATTTGGAGAGATAGGCAATCAAACATACAGCTTACAGAACGATGAAAGAAACTAGATAAAATAAAAAGGGGAATAAATAAACAATAATTAAATAGATATAATAACTTGAACATAAGACCACAATGTGGTGCTACCGCAATAATGAATCAGCGCGAAGTTAACGCATAAATCATTGCGAAAATGAATTGTGAAAACCCAAGCATTGCAGGAATCTTATTACCTTGAACAAAAAATGGCTTAATAACAACATTGTAGACACTGAATTTTATTCCGTTTTTAAATTATTATGAAACATTGGATTATTACGAGTTGATGGGTTGGTCACTACAAACATCAGTTATTTTGGCAGTTTATGAGTTTGACAGCAAATTTAATCTTATCCATAAAGCTAGCTAACTTTTATCTTTTTATGCTTACAGCCATACTTAAGTAACCGTAATAAGTAAAACGTAAAATGTTGATAGCCATCTTTACAGTTGCCAACATTTCACTTAAAATGCAATATACAGGGCGTATCTACTTACTTTGTCCCACATAAAATGTGACATGTCTGAATGTTTCTGGTTGTAGGTCTAATGTTAGTTCTAATGACAGTGGTAGGTAGATACCACTGTCATTAGAACTACTGGATATCACTATGTTCCATGTTTTCCACAACTAGAAAGTTTCGGGTTTAGCCGTGCGTCTTCAGACGCACGGCGAACCTTTTTTTCTTAGCGATTTGAGTTAGGTGAATTTCACTGTACTAAGGCCCGGTTTCATAATAAAATTAAAGGCGGCTTTAAATATTTAAAGTCACTTTATCTTTAAAACGCGTTTCATAATCAATTTTTAACCCTAAACCCGGCTTTAACTTTAAAGTCGCCATTCTCTCACTTTAACGAATAAAAGCGGCTTTAAGCGCTGTAATATAACCTATAAGTGTCACTGCGTGTGCTTGTCCGCTGATTATATATCTGTTCATTTCACTCAAAATACAATGAATTTGATGGATACGAGTTCAAGTTCATCATCGGAAGATGAACCTGTACTTGTACTTAGAAGACGTAAAGTTTACAAGAAGAGAGTGGATTGTTTCCAACGATATAATGAAACTGAATTTTTTGAAAGGTTTCGACTAACAAAAGATACGGTAGTTTCGTTATTGGCATTGATAGAAGACGCAATATCTAACTTTTCCAAGTTAAAAAAAAATAACCAAGTAAGTTGTATTATATAATAAAAATATATCCGGTATATTTATACTTTGCATTTTTCTTTAGAGGGGGCTCTATACCAGCAATGCATAGCCTATTATTAACCCTAAAGTTCTATGCAACAGGGAATATGCTCCTTTCTGTAGCGGATTTTATTGGAGTATCGAAAGCCTCAGCATGTAGGATAGTAAAGAAAGTTACCAGTGCTATAGCGTCACTATCACCTCGCTACGTAAAAATGTATTCTACGAATGCAGAAATGAATAGGGCTGCGGAAGAGTTTTATCGATTTGCAAGATTCCCACGAGTTATTGGTGCTATTGATTGTACACTTATCAAGATACAATCACCAGGAAGAGAAGACGGTGAAATATATCGCTCAAGAAAAGGTTTTTGTGCACTGAATGTGCAGACAGTTTCTGACGCACGTTTAAAAATTCGGAATATTGTTGCGAGGTGGCCTGGTTCGTGTCACGACCAAACCATATTTAACAACAGTAGTTTAAAAGAAGCCTTTCAAAATGGGATGTATGGACGATATATGCTTGTTGGAGATAGTGGCTATAAAATTAATCCATACCTTATGATACCTTCACATCAACAAGTACAAACACCAGCTGAGAACTTGTACAATGAATCGATTATCAGAACACGGAATGTGGTTGAACGTCAATATGGAGTGTGGAAAAGAAGATTTCCAATTTTAAGTTTATGCATGAGGCTGCAGATAGAAACAACAATGAATGTGATAGTTGCGACTGCAGTACTACATAATATGGCCATAGACATGAATGAGAGTATTCCTGGAGAATGGACCAATCCATTTAACGCAGACGAAGACGAAATTGAACAGGATGACGATCATTACGTAGAAAGCTCAACCTTTTCTAGGTAGGGGTTGAGGTGTGAGGCAGTTGCTTATTAATGAACATTTTGGTAGACTTTAACTTTTTATAAATAATGTTTATTTCATATATATATATATATATATATATATATATCGTATACAGTCTCATGTGTTACATTATTTAGTCAAATCTTTCTCTTTTTGAGCTATTTCCAACTCCAATAAACGTATTCTCATTTTAAATTCTTCATTTCTCCTTTCTTCTTCTTTCTTCTTTATTTTTCTCTCTTTCCTTAGAGAAGTTCAACCCCCTTTTCTTGATTACAGACATATTAGAAATAATATCGAATACTCAACATTCCATCGATGTTTATATTGAAAAATGACAGTGTGACAGGGAAACGCAGTGTTTACAATCGTAACGAATGAAATCTTACTAGAATTCAATGTGACCAACTTGAATAAAAAACATAAAGCGCCTTTTACTAAAGTCGGCGTATGAGTGTATTATGGAACGCGTTAACTTTAAAATCGATATTAAAGCCGGCTTTAACCTAAAAGTGCCTTTAGTTAAAGTGGCTTTAAGTCCCGCATTATGAAACCGGGCGTTAAACTTGTAATAATCCTAAAAATTAATCAGATAATCCTATTAAGTATTAAAAACAAACTCAATAAACAGCAAAACCGTCTAGACGATCAATAGGGCCGTTAACGTCAATCGATTAGAAAGACCGTCTTTCAAAAAATCGATAATGTAAATTAAATTAGACGGATTAGTAACGTTTTCACGTTCGAAAATTGTTTAATTTTTGCAATAATTAATGTAAAAGTTTAAAATTCCCCACCCCTGATTCATTGTGACGTTTTAAGTAAGAAGAAAGAAATCACAGACGTGATTTCTCTCCCGTTTTCTTCTGTTTTCTTCTAGCGCATAAGATTCGTAGCATTGTCTCTCTCTAGGAATTTTATTGATTTTTATACGCTCCAATCATACGCTCAAATCTGAGTGACGCGCTACTGAATTCGCGGCCTGTAATTTCAAACTTTATTATTTTTTTTTGGAAAAACTAAGCCTCAGAATCAAAAATTAAAAAATATGGGGTCAATCAATTTTAAAAAACTTTCGAATAAGCCAATAAAAAAAAATAGTTAACGGCCCTATTACCTGTTATCAGATGATGGGCGCTGGGTAAATACCTACCTGACGAGTAGGTATTTATAAAATCGAAGACAAATCTGTCGTAATTTAGATTAGATCAAGTTATTATGATTATTATCTTCAAGCCTTGTTGGACATAGGCCTCCCCTATTCTGGTCCATTCGATTCTATTCTGTGTTGTCTGAATCCAATTGTTGAGCTTTGCCACAATGTTGACCACATCATTTGCTCCAGTTCTTGTTCATAGGTCTTCATTTCGATTTTTGCGTTACTTTGAGCCTCCTGGCAGTAGCTACCGTTAATGTCAATGTTTCGGAGCCGTATGTCATAAGCGAAAACACGCATTGATTGAAAGCTTTTCTTTTCAAATATATAGGAATATCGCTCTTGAAGATGTCTGTAAGTTTCCTGTAGGCTGTTCAGTTCGCTTGTTTGATTATCTCTCGATACACGAACCTCATGGCCAAGGTACACATAGCTGACAACCCTCTCAATCTTATTATCCCCAATCTTGATGGTAGACTAAGATACAAGATTTGTCATAAATTTTGATTTCTTTACGTTAATATTTAGCCCGACTCTTGCACACGCCTCCTTTAAGAAAGTCGTTCACCATTAGTTAGAAAATGTACCCATATTGTATAAATTTTAGATATACATAGGTATTGTATCACTTTTTAACGTTCATTTATGAAATGAAATAATTTTAAATCGTAATTTGTAATTTTAAATATATTTCGAGCAGCATTAATATTTGGATTCTTTGTCGTTCGCTTAATTGCGCCATATTTGTTTAAACTGTCAATTTTTTGACATTTAAAGATGTTTCGGCGCCTACTTTGATTGTAATTTGCTGATTTCATATTTTCAGAGAACGCATTATTTCTCGTTTTTTTTTGTTATTCAACCATATGATTTGATATGTTCGTCGCGTAGAAGGATTTATCATCTATCAAAATATGCAAAAAAAACATATGCATCCCATTTAAAATAACAATGTTGGTTGCCATAGCAACGAAACAAAAACAATGTAAACAAGCAAATATCGCCAAAAAATGCGCCACAATTATTTCGACCGTGTCATTATCGTCCATATTTTCTTCTGCGCTTTCTTCCTCTTGACCTGTTTTCTTAGTCGATTTCTTCTTTGACTGTGAATAAATCCTTATCTATAAATAAAGTAATAACGTAGGACTAAATTCTAAAATTTTATTGATTATACTACCGTGCTGAAAGTTCTTTCCGTAGCTGCTGTAGATCCTGGCAAGTTTAATATACCCGAAGCTAGTGAGCTCAAGTTTTTACTGGAACAGATTCCTAACCACCACGTAATGCCATTTAATTTTTCACTAGAGATTTTGCAAAGAAACCACTTCTCACTTTGTATACTCGGCAAATTCAGTAGTTACTGTTTTCAGGATCATTATGCCTCGAATGACTTTTAGCTATTTCAAAAATAAATTCTGAGGCAATGAAATTTTGTTCTGGGCTTAAATATCGTCCTCTACTTGCTGGTGCCAGTAAATTAGCAGCTATATGTATCGGTTTTATCGATTTATTCATTCTTGACATTAAAATACTTTTAATTGGGTCCTGCTCATCTTGAAGTATCGATGTTGATAATAATTGTCGTGATATAGCAGTTTCTATTTCCAAAAAGGCATCAAAAACCTTTAATATTGTAGGAGTATTTGCTTCAAAATATTTAATCAAAGTCCTTAGGTATTCCCCGATTTTGTTGATATTACCGACATTATAGAGAGATTTTAGTTGAACTCTTGGACGATAGATGTCTCTTATAGCCGATGTTGAACGGGTATATTATCGATATTACTTTTTAAATTACTAATTATAGCTAAAAAAAAGTGGTCTAAACTCACCTTTAATGAAATTCCCGGTATATCAGGAATTTAGACCAGGAAAAATAAAGCCAGAGTATTTTATTTTTAGTTAATTTCTTTTATTTCTATTTTCTTATTTGCCATTAAAACCAGTTCCTTCTTTTTCGTTTTTCGATATCTATCGAGCGAACATTTAACAGAAATGATTAGAACAAAATCAAGTGATACATCGAAACAAGTAAAACATGTTTTGTCCTGATACTTCATTTATTTCCTCTTTGTCCCCCAAAATGAGGTAGTAAATCGACTCCACCATTTCTCATATTGTCGCGATTGAGTTGATGATATCTTTAAAAGTGAGGATGAAATAATATTACTTAGAAGGATCTGGATTAATCTTGCACATTGTATATTTTCAACAATAAAGTGTTATCTATACTTTACAAATGTAATCTAGACTCATTTTACTAAAACCTGATATTTACATTATATACAATAAATATAATTTGCTTAGAACTCCTTTGTATTTCATTTTATTGAAAGTAATTTACTGAAGATCGAAACGTTTCGCCACAAACTTACTTATTTGGTGTCTTCGAGTTTTTAACTACGATAAAACGCTATTAAATTTTCGAATGGAGTATCTTCGTGAAAATCACAAGTACGGTTGTCGATTTTTTCGATTAATTTCAATCGGAATAGACTTTAAAAGGATCAACAATTGGATATAATTTACGATGTGGGAGTTTTTTTGGATATCTTGTAGATTGAGGGAAACTAGTTAAAATTGACTCATTAAAACTACAATACTCAATAGGCGTAATATTATTATCGTTTCTTACATAAATCGTAATAAAACGCCACGATATTTAACAACAATTTTACTCACCTAGTGTGTTATTTTTGTAAATCTATCTCGGCCGTACTTGTCAGGTTATTTTTTTTTGTGTTCTTTTCCTTTTTAATTTGCATAAGACCTTGATATCACCAATCTACTACATAGTATATACTAATAATAATTGGCAGTAGATATTATTTAAAACTTTTTTTTAATTTATTCATATCCAGTTGTTAAAATTTTTCTTTTTATTAACAGTAATAGTTTAATAGTGAAACATGAATTATACTATTTATTTGGACTTTTTAATATAGTTCTTTTAATTTTATTAATTTAATTTTTATTATTAAATTATTAATAAGTTCAGAGAGTTTCATAAAAGTTTGTGACATTACCAGATGTTCTTGCAACACACTGGTTTGGATTGTTCTAAGAACTTCGTAGATAATGTTACTTAATTAAAACATTTTTTTTTATTATTTTGATTTAATCTCACTACAGGTAAGACAGTAGGTATTATCACGAAGTTTCTTAGAAACTTAGACTTTTATCTACAAAGTAATTTATATTATCTATCGTTATGAACAGTCCTAGAGTGAAGGCCTGAGGTAAAAATCCTCTTAGTAAGTTAATTTTATTATAGGTACTTTATATTTTTAGTTCATACCAAGGCTCCTAGTTACTCATTACTCATTATACAATATATTTTATTCTCATTAAAATTTCCTTTTTTATATAAGTAATCTTTTTGTTAAAACACTTAGTGGTCGTTGATTTCTTTAGTATCACTCTAAATCCTAAGGCCATTTATTCAAATCCGACGTCCGTCAGTATTAAAAGACTTTGAATAAACGACTTATAAAAATAAATTTTAATATCGATCGACTCGTCTTTTTTCTTCAGCATCTGTTGGATAGTAATAAAGAATCGGAAATTTTTCGTAAATGATTCGTAATCGAAATCATTTAAAAAAGCAAAGGCCTGAGCTGGCCAAGCGTTAAATTATCATCCTCGTATCATTATTTTAACAAATCACGGCGGATCTTGATCTTTATCACGAATGGCCTTGAGCAAATGGCTTCTCAACTCCATCTCCGAACTCTTCCATAACGAAACAAGCTCATCTTTTGATAATCGTTCAAGTGGTGATCTTCCGTTTGAATTTCGTGGTGAACAATTTGGAGGGGGAGGTGCGGGAGGAAGACCGTGTTCTTGATGTTTTGATCTCGACCTAGATCTATCTCTTCGTGGTTGTGGGTTACTATCCAATGATCTTGAATGTTCCACTGTTTTAGACCTCTTACTTGGTTCTGGAAGTGTTTTATCTCCAAGGCTTTGATGGCGCGTTTTTAAATGTTTTCTAGGTTTTGATGTATCTTCAATTTCGATGCGAATTTGAGGATTCATGTTCATATGTTTGGAGTTATTGTCCCTGCGTGGTTTAATCAACGGTTTACTTGCCATCATTTGCTGTTGGAGTTGCTCAATCGTGTGTTTATTTCTTCTTGCGATTTCATCGTCTGAAAGGTTGCTTTTTTGATCGATTGGAGATGGTAAAAGGTTATCTTTACCAACATCAGAAATGTTATGGCAACTCTTAGCCACTACTTGTTCTTCAATTTGACCTCTACTAAGAGCTTCATCACTTTTTCCTATTGTTAAACTATATTGAGGTTGTAATTTCTGCTTATCGATTGGTTCGCGATATTTAGGTAATGTTGCCAATTTTCTCCCGATGCTTTCGGAGTCTGAGAGCTTTCTGATCGTTTCGTTTGATTTCGCGCTACAATCGGAAACGTTTTCGATGGAGAGTACTGGGCTTTTCCCCGATAATTTTCCACCCGTACTTATGATGTCTAAATAACTTGATCGCCTACTATTGATATCAGGGGGACTACTGCTTAAAAATGAAGTCGCATCTTTACTTAATCTCCTCCCAACAGCTGTACTCCTATCAGCTTTTAGTGTTTGGGTGTTAAAAACGCTGTCAGAACTAAATCTTCTCACGTTAAGATTCGTTGAGCTTTTCGCTTTGTTTTTAGAACGTGGGCTAAATAACTGCTTGTTAAAATAAGTTGTTGGTGATCTCTTGGCAGTAGTAGCGTCCATTTTAGGACTCGTTCGCATAAACGTTCTTTTAATTATACTGGGACTATGTTTTATCTTTTTATCATCGGGAGATAGCTGATTTTCTCCTTCCACTTCTTTTAGAGACTCCAACGGAAACTCGCGCTCCTCTTGCTGCTGCCTGCGAATAGTACTTTACTTCAAGGTGAGTTTCGCCTGATTTTTATCGGCTACTTACCTCCGTATCTCTTGGATCATCTCGAAGAACTGAGCCTTGCTCTTTCTTCGGCGACGTTGTTCATGTTCCTTCTGAAACAAGGATCATCAAGATGGGATCCAGATAGTGCAATTTTCGTGAACGATTCAAAATGTGATTTGCGTGTGTTAAAGTGCACTGCCGAAAGATAAGTGAAGTGGTGAAGCTTTGTTAGAAAGCAATTATAAGCAATTAATTCAAGGCCAATGAATATATTATTAACGTATTTGCATCAATCAGAGCAAAACAGATATCATCGTTTTGCCAGTAGACAAAGGAAATGACATCGTGGTCATGGACAGGAAAGAATATGACGGCAAGATCACGAGTAAGTCACCAATTTCTATACAGGGAGTGTCAAATGTCTGGAATATAGCAAATAACTTCGCCATTTGTGGTTTTAAAGAAAAATGTTTTAAACACAAGTTTTTTTATTAATCATGACGCATTTTTTGGCGATATTTGCTTGTTTGTATTGTTTTTTGTTTCGTTGCTATGGCAACCAACATCGTTATTTTAAATGGGATGCATATACAGGGTGTATCTGAATGACTGCAACAAACTTTAAGGGGTGATTCTTTAGTGAATTTTAAGGGTACTTTGATATATGAACCATGGGCGACTTCGGCTCCCCTAAGGAGCTACACCCCTCCAAAAATGGCAGAAAATTTTGGTTTAATTTGTTTTTCTCAAAAACCATAAACGCTAGGAAAATGAAATTTGGGGAATATGTTTAACTCATAATAGGGCACGTTTTGACCCTATTTGTACTTTCTACCTACCCTTCTAAACTACTAAACGTTACCACCCCCGTTCAATTTATGCCTAGATTTTTTTAATGAAAATGAAAAATACATTGAAAAAATTTCAGTTAGATAGATAGAACTATTCTAAAACCTTTTTGTCTCTCTGATGTTCTTCTAAAACTTAATAATTTCTTAGGAAAATAATAATTAAGCGAACACTGCCCGTTAAACAATGGGGTTGTCGATCAAAAGTTGGAATGAATTTTTAATGAAAAAATCTTGGTAGGCTTTGCAATCTTTGTCAGAAATATTTTTGACGTTTAACTGTCAGTGGTTTTCTTACTATTATTATTGTTTTATTTAAAATTTTGAAACGTCGATTGAACGAGTGTAAATGCGATAGAACTTTATTAAAAAATTAATTTGAAAAACAATAATAATAGTACAAAAATACTGACATTTAAACGTCAAAAATATTTCTGACAAAGATTGTAAAGCCTACCAAGATTTTTTCATTAAAAATTCATTCCAACTTTTGATCGACAACCCCATTCTTTAACGGGCAGTGTTTGCTTTATTATTTTTTTTCTCAAAAATTAGTCGTTTTTGGAAAAATTTTAGAGAGACAAAAAAGTTTTAGAACAGTTTTATCTATCTAACTGAAATTTTTCCAATGTGTTTGTCATGTGCATAAAAAAAATTTTAGCAAAAATGTAAAGGGGGTGGTTACGTTTAGTAGTTTAGAAGGGTAGATTGAAAGTACAAATAGGGTCAAAACATGCCCTATTATGAGTTAAACATATTCCCCAAATTTCATTTTCCTAGCGTTCATGGTTTTTAAGAAAAACAAATTAAACCAACATTTTCCGCCATTTTTGGAGGGGTGTAGCTCCTTAGGGGAGCCGAAATCGCCCATGGTTCATATATCAAAGTACCCTTAAAATTCACTAAAGAATCACCCCTTGAAGTTTGTTGCAGTCATTCAGATACACCCTGTATATTTTTTGCCTACTTTGATTGTAATTTGCTGATTTAAGACTTTTAAAAAACGCATTTTTTCTCGATTTCTGCTAATACAACCATATGATTTGATATGTTCATCGCGTAGAGGGATTTATCCTCTATTAAAATGTGCAAAAAAACATGCAATATGTTGGTTGCCATAGCAACGAAACAAAGGACATTGTAAACAAGCAAGTATCGCAAAAAAATGCGCCACAATGCATAAAGAATTTTATCTACAACTATTGAATTATCTATTCGTTATACATTTGATTTTTGACGGTTAATGACACTCATTACTCATGACTAGGGCACGGAACTTTTGTAACGGGACGATACGATTTACCCCCACCACTTTTTCTCCTAGAAAACAAGGCGGTGGCGTCAAGTCAACTCACCTCATCGGTTGTTGTTGACGACCGACAATCGGTTTATTACACGTCAGTGTCAACTGTCAGTACGATTTGAAAATATTTAAAAAAAATATATTTTATAACTTTAATTCAAAAAAACATGATCCGATTTGTAATATCAATCACAAATCGGATACGGATATAAAAAAATTGCTGTTAACGCATATTGAAACAACCATCCCTAAATTTTCTTCTGTAAATGACGTTCTAGTTGACGTTAAAATGAGTTTGTACCTAGAAAATAATCTTTCAACATCACAACTTGTAAATAGAGCATAAATAAAATAGTGAGCTATTGAACCATATTTTTCCTTAAGAGTTAAAGGTATATTGTTTTCGGCAATTTGTTGAACAATTCTCAAATCCGAACAACAATTTTACCACAAAGGGAAACTAAAAACAATTCTTAAAAAAAATAATAATACGAACTCAAACAGAACTCCAACTTCCAACTAAAGGTAACTAAAGAAAGATAAATAGAAAATTTGACGAAATTATGCGGATGAAAAGCGTCGAATACTGCACATTTAGACAACAGTGAAATCGTACTGACAGTTGACAATGTTGACATTGATGCGCAATAAAAAACCGATCGTCGGTCGTCAATAACAACCGATCATTTTTTAGGAGAACAAGTGGAGGGGGTAAATCGTATCGTACCGTTACAAAAGTTCCGGGCCCTACTCATGACAGACAAAGTGTTGAATAATGAGGCCATTATTCCACACTTCTGACACTGCCTACTAATCAAAAAATAAAATATTAACAGAAATGACAGCTTTCTTATATTGAGGTTATGTCTGAAATGTCTATCAAGTTTATTTTTTTTTCCTTTTTTTGATTTTTTTTTCAAAATTAAATAGTTGTAGATAAAGTATAGTATTCAACTTGCGTATAATCGATGTTACCCACTCAGATTACAACACTCGCTCGCTTCACTCGCTCGTGTTGCAACTTCATCTTCGTGGGTAACAGCCGCCATTATACGCTTGTTGAATAATATACTATTTTATTTGAAACATTTTTCTTTAAAACCACAAATGGCGAAGTCCAGACATTTGACACACCCTGTATGAAAACGTTATGTGAGTGATCACCTGAATTTATAAAACAGTTACTTTTCCTGGATGTTTTGGTCACTATAAACACAGAATTAGAAACATTCGGGTTTAAAGCGAATATTTCTACTTCTAGATCTAGTGTTAGTTCTAGTTCTAGAAAAATCTGCACATATCTAAGTTTATGACGCAAATGGGTTAAGAAAGTGATAAGCGTAATAAAATTTAGTATGTGATAAACGAGAATTTTAAGTACCTACCTTTAAATAAATTTTCCTTATTTACATTTAAATTGATTATTTTTAAATTGGTTCATTTTATAAATGAGTTTTTTCTTTAAATTTTGATTAACAGTGTATCTTGTTAGAAGCCCTATTAAAAAAGGTCAACGGAACACTAACCCTTTTGATGCTCTTCTGAAACAGGCTGGTGATCTGTCCTTGTCTAATCGTGTGTACAAGCTCCCGTGCGGCGTGGTGTGGGGAGACGAGTTCGACGCAATTGATGAACCTGTACAGTTTCTGGCTGAAGAACATTATGTTCCTGCTCCTCCATATCGATCCCTTCGGCTTGTCGCGTAGAAGTGGCAGCGTATACTTAAAAAATAAATGCTCGACAAGCAGGATTATGCAGCCGAGGATCACGCCTACTCCTAGCAGGATAAATACACCCGTCACGGCTGCTACTCCCAGCGGCCTCGGCTGAGCAATTTCAGTTGCCAACTTGAAACAAGGTAAGGCACCGTACCATTTCTCCTGTAGGATATCCATGTAACCGTTGCTTGAGTACTTAGCTAACACAGCTGATATACTATCCTAAAAATTAATTATTAATTTTAATTAAATCATACTCATTAAAAATAAAACCTTTAAAGGAAACCCCTTCACCATTCCGATTGCATACGTATCCTCATTAATTGCATCCCCAATTTTCTGGAGTTTACACCCATGATCCGTTGCTCGATAATAGTCAAGGATTGGAGTATCCGCGATAACGATGTCTAAACTCCCATTTCGTAGCCTATCCAGTCCATCCTCAATGCTATCCAGAGAATACTTGTACATGTGCTCCCAAACCATTTTGTTGGCGCGTTGAATATAATATTCGGCCGCTGAAGCCTTAGGTGCACCCACTCGTTGACTGAGTAACTAAAATTCGAAGATAAACTTTATTCACGAATTTCGATAATGAGGTGAAAATCCCAAAGTGAATAGAATTGTTTGGTTGCGCCTTGTTTGTGTAACCACTGAAACTACGTTCGATCCGGCCGTTTAGGTTTGAGACGCGACGAGAAGGGCAAAGGCCGGGGATTTAATTCGATCGCGGCTTAGAGTTGCAACTTTAGAGGGAAACTTCGCAAGGGAAGATGGAAATTAATTCGACTCTAACTTTGACCCGGATTTGTAAACTTCGCCTTCGTTTGTGATGAATAGTGTTTTGTGGGCAAAATAAAATTAAGCATTAAATGGGTTGCCTTTGCAGAAGTTAATTAAACAAATTTAATTCATTCGTCAATATTACTTTCAGATGCTTAGGTATTGAATTTGATGAATTTCATTGTTTTACAATGAAATCGTAGTATGTTACAAAAAAAGTTGTTGTAAATTTTACTGTTAACAATATTGGTCTCTTGCACTTAAAACAATATTTGAATAACTGAAAAACCAATTCAGCCGCACCCACAATGCCCCGAGTACTCCACGAGTTCTCCTCAAACTTCCGTATCGCGTAAATACCCCTTAAAACTTAACCGTCAACTTTTACGGGGTAAAAGCAGTAAACGTGGAATCACAGAAGGTAACAAATGTTATCCAAATTCAACCACCAGATGACTGAACCCGTTACAAGATAATGTAATCAAAACGATCCTAAATGATATCGATTGGGATTATTCATGACAATTTCGTCGCGTATCTCTTGTACATGAAATTTGGTTTTAATTACCCTCGTGACCGTATACTAAATAGGTGTGCGACTAATTCAATTAACCTCCGATAATCAACGATACGTTCCACTTCCGTGCTTTGAATGAGTATTTGTATATGTGTACGTTAATCAGATAATGCTTGTTAATTCAGATAAAAGTATTTGTTGAACCGGATAGTTGAAACCGAGCTGTCTATATAACTTATGAAGTAAAAGGAAACTTACCCCATCATGATAATTAGTTGCTGTATTATGGAAAAATAATCCAGCGATAAGAGCGGCAATATTAGCTGTATAACTTGCAACGAATATCACTGAGAATCCGCCCCAGACGTTAATGAGAAATTTGTTTGGCCAACTTTTCGGTGCTTTAAATGCTACCAAATGTCCACAAAGCAATCCCCACATGACCCATAAAGCCGAACTCATGCTGAAATTTTTCGAACGTTGCCTCCCCCATGGATTTAATCCGAACGGTGATAACCACTCGTAGATGGCAACAGCAATAGCGGTTATGTTCAAAGAGGTAAAAATGGCGATCCATAATTCTGGTGAAAATGGAAGTAAAAACGCCATCAGAGGTATTTCCGATTCTTGTCTTGGCGCTGCTAAAAGGCTAACGCCGCTATAAAAATATGGAACGCTGAAGTCTATGACTTCACTACGAATACTAGAAACGCTGAGTGGCGCAAAAGACATGTGTGCAGCACCGGATACGAGGTCACCGACGATTCCATTCCACTTAATTGCAATCTATAAAAAAATTAATACAACTTACTACATAATTATTAGATTAAAATTATAGATACCTCATTGTTTAATTCTTCATCTTGATAACTTTCCGCGTAATTCATACCTTCGTTTCCTTGTTTCAAACCTGATAGAAATTTCTTACCAACATCTCGTTTAACTCTTCTGCTATGTTTTTTTGTAATAATTCTACTTCCGAAATAACCATCCGCAACAATATACAGTCGGAAATCAAACTCCAATTCCTGCGCAACGTTTTCTAAAAGATCCATCGAAAGACCATAACAGCAATTCGTTCGATACTTAAATTTTTGAAAGGGATACATCCTCTCATCATCGTACTCTTGGCTCACTGAGTCATCCACCTCCCCTTCCTCCTCTTCTAGTCTGTGTTTGTATTCCATTTCGTTGAATACCAACGTAAGGTTATCTTTATCGGAAGTGAGTACTCGATGACAAGGGAGTCCTGGAGGGTAAACGAAAAATTATTAACAACTCTATTAAAAGAAGCGAAGGAACGCTATTAAAGTGTATTTTGGAGTATTTCTCACACTGTCGAGATGTGGCCAGCTTCCAAAAATTCTAGAAAGAAATGGGAAGCCGACGGTTTTCGGCACCCATTATTTTTATGTGTGTCAATTCAGGAGAGGCATAAATCTGAACGCGAAACTGGGTCAGCACCGTCGCGTTGTTTTGTCCCTTTATTGGGGACAGTAAAATAAAACCCTTAACTCGCCTGGCCAATTTATTGACGCTCTCTGCTCGAGAAAAATTTAATTTGCTTGTTTGCTCGTTAAATTACGTAATCGCAGGTTCATACTAATAAATTTCGTCCTTTAATAATTTAATAATACTTTTATTTATGGTATACTTACCACGTAAACATTGCCCATCTTCGTCTAATTCGCTCTCCATTACGAAAGGAGGTGCCAATGCTGTTACTATTCTAAACACAGTTCTAGCTCTAGTAGATACGGCAGCAACGGATATGTCCCCACCAGGCCAAACAATCGTATCCAATCTAACCAATCTTCCGGATACAATTCCAACTCTTTTCCATTTTAAACCACCCGGTTCTAAAATTATGATAATTATACAACACTAATAATAATAATAATAATAATATAGGTGAAAGTGAAAAAAAATCTTTCTTTGATATCAACTATTCAAACGGTCGTTAAAAGTGAGTACAAGTTAAGATTACAAGCATGCCTTGAGGGTTATAAACGTGGGCTTGGGACAAGAAAGGGGATAAAAAAGAAGATTGTTTGGGGTACTGCAATTTCCCTTAAACGACACACTAGGGCAAGATGGGGAGCAATGACATCTAGCATCGTATTCGAGGAATTACTCGAGCAGTAATTCAGCTAACGTTTATGGTTTAGGCTAGAATTTACTCGTATTTATTGCGAGGAAACAAAAATTATTTATTAAAATTGTATTTTGAAATTGCATGTAATATAATACTATGTTGATAAATGTAGGGTGGAAGGAAAGTGGTTGGGAGATATAAATGACGCGAAATTGACAAGCAAACAAAACCATACCTGTGCTTTCTTGCGTCTTATTGATTCCGCCGTCGATGTCCTTTTGCGACGGTTCAGAAACTAGGTTCAATATTTCGAAATTCGACACTAATGATTTGTCCACTTTGTCAACGCCAATATCTTGTGAATATCGTTTTCCCGCGAGAGCATCCGTACAGGCCGCCTTTAGTTCCCTAAAAACGAAATATGATTTTCAGCAAACAAAAGGTACAATGGCAGCGGCGCCGGTTAAACAATATGAATTTTCTGTAGGAGCGAAGTTATGAAGCGCTGCTTTTTTTAGAGTTACCCACACAAAGCACCTACGCTGGGGATACATAAATCTTTTATGATGTACGACTTAATAGAAAAAAGGGCGTATTCGTGTTTCGCATCTTGGTGGAGCAGTGCAGTACCTCGTTATTCAGAGAAATAGTTCAGGAAACCGAGACAGTACTGATTAACGAGTAACAAACATTATGCAATTATAAGGGTAGATTATTTCAAGAATTTATTACACTATTTATTTCAAAAATTATGACACAAATTTTTTTGTTGTGTCGGTATCAATTTCCGAAAGTGCAACAACTTCCTGGGTTAAAGCTATTGTGTTACAAATCGATGCGACTTTATTCCAAAGAAAGCTTCGAAATGATCCCGGCACAGTTACGCGGATGTGATCACAATGAACCGGTTACTAAAATATCTTTCAACTTGAGTAAAGGTAATATTATTGGAATATTTGGGATGCCTTCCAGGTGAATATGAATTAACTGAGCGTGAATAAATGGGGTCATTAATTTGTGAGTATATGATTAATTGCTACTGGGGAAGGAAACGCGCTGAAGTGAAAATCCCGTGGAAGTGAGAAGCTTTTAGTTCTTCTTCATAAAATTTTATCTAGATTTTTGGTTATTTCACCAACAAAATTTTTATGCTACAAAATCAAATTTTTAAAGTTAGTTTAATTATTGTTGTAACGTTTAAGTTTGACGTTTGCACGTTTACCTAGTCCAATTAAAAAGTCAAGCGGACACCTCGTAAAATACGTGCCGATAAAGTTAAAAAGCGTTTACGCTTCAAATTAGATGCGAAGCGACCAAAAAGCGTGGGGCATCGCTCGCTCAAAGTACCAATTATCGTCACTGCCAATCAAGGTACTCGATTGCAACCATAAATAACTAAAGGGATGAACGGCTTCAGGGAGAGTCAATAGACCAATTAACCCAGTGATCGAAAGAATGTAATAAAATTTTATTTAGAAAACATTTTATATATTTTTTCCGATAAAAAATATAATCTCGAGATGAAACTTCTCTACCTTGACAATAAATTTGAAACCGGATCCGGGGAGGATCGAGACGCAGTTCTGCATTATGTCCGTCATAAATCCGGGTTTCCTATTGTTGTTTCAGCTTGCATCGTCCGATATCCCCGTGTATGGGTGATAAAATCTAAAATCCGCGGTGATGTAGTTTCAAATCGCGTTAGAGATGCTTGTAGGAATTGTTTTTACTACACCGTTCAAGGAATGATTGATACACATAAAAAATCGATGGAGATAAGATACGAATCATCACAATATTAAGGAAAATTTAAAACTTCAATTAAATTTAAAATCAATTAGAGTCACCGAATGGAGAATTAGATTCGGGAAGAAATGCAAAATAATTGTCGCACATCGGTGCCCTTATCAGGATTAGGAAAATGGAATGTGAAATTGAATTTCGCTCTACGGTTGAGACGAGAAGTGGGATGATAGTTCAATGTACTGGAAGGTCGCGTAAGGGATGTAATATCTAGATCTACGCAGGAGTGCTCACTTTATTAATGTGGAATCTAGACCGGTCTTTATTACTTTATCTTACTCTGAATGTAAAAAGTACCTTTATTTTATTTTACCTTAGCTTGAAAATATCTCAACGTTATTCTCTCGGCCCGTTTATTTCTTAGGTTGCTACATAATCATAACATCAATCACAGCTAGCTAAAGATTTTTAGTTTCAGATTCATATAATATTACTCAAAAGATGTACAACCTCACTCGGTAAAGCCAAGGTCGCTTGCGGGCGAAGCGCTACAATATGATGATTAGCTTCAGGTTGATATAAGCGACCTCAATTTAATTAGTCGAACACTGTGTTAATTAATTATCGTACCCGACGTCATCATTGCAAGTATGCAACACAATACGCGATTTACGTATTGCATTACCAATACTGTGATATTGGTTGCATACTTACAATGATGACGTCGGGTACGATAATTAATAAACACACTGTAGATGTGATACTAGGGGTTCCAAACGGTAGATACATAGTGAAGAACAGATGATACATAGGCAAAATAGAGTGAACGGATACAGGATAGATTAGTGAAAGGACGACATGTCCTACATGGGAAATATATATATATATAGCATATAGATCCGAGCATTCGGGAGGCCTTCTTAATGATATAATCAATATGAACAAGAAAATGTAAGTTTCAAGTCAAATAGAAAGCCAAGATTCTCGAACGCACTCAGATTGTTTGAGAGTGTTAGAGCCGAGGGAATAATCAAAAGCAATAAGATAGCGTTTACGTGTAAATGTGATTTTGCTGCACTTGTCGTGGTTAATATAAAGATTATTATTTATACAACATGCTTGCAACCTATCTAAGTTAACCTGCAACTTCACACAGTCATCAAGTGAACAAATAGGGGCAAATATTTTGCTGTCATCGCCATATAAAGGAAATTTTGAGTAGCGAAAGCAGGCATGGATATCGTTGATGTAGAGCAGAAATAACAACGGCCCCAGATGGCTGCTCTGAGCTACAGCATATTCTCAAGAAACAATTCAAGCGACTCCGTATCCGCAGATGGGAGATAAACACAGCAAAGAAGCAACCGATCAATACCGCACTGCATAGACAACCACAAATCTTCAACACTCGACGATTCGACCATTTAAATGATGATTAGTTTCAGGTTGGTATAATATTAATCACTGAACCTCGCCCGTAAGCAACCTTAGCTTAATTAATTAAACGATCTCTAACAGTTTCATCACAAACTATGATTTCACACATCGTTAGAAACAGTACCAAAAAGCTGTATAAATCACGCAGTGCTGCTAACCATCAATCAATAAATGACCTCACTCAACATTCACGGCTTGATGCTTTCATGATAATGAAAATATCGCGGGTATGGAATACATCAGCCTGTATTTAAATTTTATATCATAGAACAATGTAGTTCAGAATAGTTACACATAGTTGCACAAGTTATTTCATAAAATTTGAAACCATTATCGTTAAAATCAATGAATTAATTTTAATTTGTGTTCATTGATTATTAATAAAATAAATAGCGATACAAAATCAGTATTAAAAAAGTACTAAAATACAGGGTCTAGCATAAAAAGATATTATTGGGTGGTAATCGCCTGTCGAAACGACGGATACGCTATTATTAAAGATTGTGAACGAATAAAATGTAGTGAAAATGTGTCGGCAGACTGAGGACCGTCTTTAATCAAAGCTGTATGGACAATAAAAAAAGAGTACCCATCAAAGTTGTTATAACACTAGGGTATATTATATCACGAATACAATGGAAGAGGAGATTTATTAAAGAACGAATAAAAAATGATTCACTCTACGTTGAAAATATAAAATGAAATATTAAAAATATTTTACTTTATATATTTCGCATAATTTCCATACGTTTTAACTCGCTAAAGGCAAATGAAAATGTATCAGCCGTGACAAACATCATAAATCTTTAATACTACGTCATTGCGATTTAGTCCGTCTAATCCATAAATCCTTCCGTACATTTGCCAAGGATTTGCGACCACGCCCTTTATGGTTATTTATGACCATATACTGCCTGTGACAGGGTTGCTGTCTTGCCTTAGGCCCCTTTTTAAATTTTTCGCACATTAACTGCAACATAACTACATCTTTTCCCTTACCATTATAGATTTACACCGGAAATACGTCAAGATTTAAATTCAAAATGTTACAATAATGTAATGGGATGTGATAGACGTTGGCGGAAATGGAGACCATAAAGCATAATTTTATGAGACTCTTAAAGACAACTTGCTACAAGGAATAGGTACGAAACGACATTGTCGATTGGGTAGATGTGTACCACCTTGAAAGCGCTATTAAAAGTTGTAACACGAAGATCTTGACAAGAGCGTTTAAACATTAATCGTTGCTATTTTAATGGTGAAAAAAGAAGGAATAAAATATGGTAGTTTCGGAAGACAATTTAAGGAATGTCAAAAACATTTTCTGTCAAATCGTAACAGCGGTAGATATTGTCCAGAGGAAATGAGGGCATTTCTCATGTTAACGACCGCCCAAAAAAGAGCAACAAAAAAAGCATGTAGTATCGGCAGTTATATTAGTCCGGTAATATATCAAAGGGGATCGTTTCAGAACGAATATTCATAAATATCTTTTTTTATTGCAGATTTAAGATCAATATGAATCGAAATTCCCGAATATAGTGTAAACTAACGGCCAAAATTACGTTCTAGTCCATTAGGATACTCACAAGAGGATAAATTACAGCGACAGCTCAGCTTTGGAGCCCTAAGTAACGTACGGTGTAAGGAGATACGCTCCGGATCCTGACGTCATAAATTGACCTCGTTCGCGTTCGATCGGTCAAAAGATAATAGAAAGGGTTACCGTTCTACGCCCCGATATTCGATTCAAAGATGAACAGTGAACAACCTGGCCGCTGGTTTCCGGATCATCGGGTTTGACTAATTGAAGAGACGGGAAGTGGGACTGTTGAAAACGAGGGTTTTCATTCCGAAATTGCTAGCATCCCTTAAAACCGGGTCGAAACGAAAACAATTCAACGACAGCGAATACTAATTGGGATGAATAAATTCATATTAGCGATAAATGGGAAATTTTCTCCGACCAATGTTTCAACGTTTCATTTCTACTATTTTACTTCTAATCACCTATTAATCATTTTAATTACTAATGGATTATACATTACGTTTCATCAAATAAAGTACAAATAATAAATTTTAAAACACGCACGTGGACTATCAGTTCGCCTAATTCAAATTTCGTCTGAAGATGCACGGCTAAACCCGAAACTTTCTAGTTCTAAATTTTGTTGTGATTTAATGAGCATATATTCGATGAAAGTCAAAATAGGGTTCAGGATAAA